CCGTCCACCCCACGAGGTGCCCCGGTCGTGCCATGGCCGCCCGGCTGAGCGCGCTCTCCGCGTCGGGGCTGTACCAGCGGCGCCAGCACCGCCAGAGCCCGCCAGCCTCCGCGCCCGGGTAGGTGGCCAGGGACAATGGCCGGAAGGTTGCTGCCGCAGAGCTGGCCTTGGAAACCCACCCGGGGCCTTCCGACGGCCTTGGGCTAGCGTCCAGGGCCCGCGAGGTCTGGGTTGGAGAGCAGGAAAGTGGGAAGGGGTCGATGCGGTCTTAGCCCCGAGGGTGGATACTGGGACGAAGTTGTCCTGGGTCATCAGCGTGGCTGCTTTCAGCCTGGGCTGGTCTCAGCGCCTGCCCCCTGAGGGACCCCACTCAACAGGCTAGGCTGTGACTTGAACCTGGGTCCCCTGGACTTTCAGGCAACTTTAAAGCCCCAGGCACTTGCTGTTCCAGCCACCGTTTCCTTAGAGCAGGGCTCAGGATGGTTCTCCAGGGTTCCCCCTTGGGGTGGGGAGAGTGCAAGCGGCACCCCTGGGAGGGGTGGGAGAGAGGCTCCTGGTCAGGTGGCCCCAGGGGCTACTTGGAGGAGAAATCCCAGTTAGGGCAACTGGGGTGGTGGGGGTCAGAGTGACAGGTGGGGATGGAGAAGCTGGGGAGCCAAGAAGACAGGGAGGGCCTGGGATGGAGACCAGCCACGCTACAGTGTGTGTCCAGGTCAAGGGAGTGAGGACCGAACCATTCGAGGCGTCCTTGGAGGAAGAGAGGACGGGGCTAGGGAAAAGGAGCTGCAGGCACAGGATGAACCCATTGCTTGGTGGGAAGCCTGAGGCCCAAGAGCCAAGCAGCCCACCTGAGACAGGATGAGATAAAGTGAGAGGCCCCCACCTCTGACACTGACCCTCTGCATTGTGAACCACTGTACTAGGTTGTAGGTGGCCAGGAGGGTTTATAGGTGCTGAGGGTGGAGTAAGCCTCCGAGTCTATGGGCTGTTCAGGGCTCAGGTGCACACAGCCCATGGCCCACAGGGGACCTGGCATGGTGGTGGGAGTCTGGAGGGGGGTACACACCCACAGCTGCACACATGGCCCCTGCCAGCTTCTGCCTTGTGCCACTGGTCAGTTCTCCATCCTCGGTGGGATATGCTCCAGTGTGCCTGCTGAGGAGGAGGCATTGCCGCAGGGAGTGTGAGCTCTGGTGGGTGTTCCAGGCAGGTCCCCAGTGTGGGGTGTTCCCCTGGGCAGGTTTGTGTGGCTGCCCCAGGTGCTCAGCTAATTGCCTGGCATCAGTGGGCAGTGGTGCCAAGTGCCACCTTTGTGGGTCAGTTCCTGTTTACTGTGCATGGCCAGTCCCAGGTGGTCAGGAGGGCCACTGAGGCCTGCCTGCAGAGGGCACCGTGGCCTCACTTAACTCTCCCGGCCTCCCTGCAAGCTGCTGCAGACCCATTCTGCAGATGAGCAAGCTGAGGCTCTGAGGATTTGGGTTGCAATTCTCACAGCTAAGGAGCTGTTATCCCTGGCTGAAGACCACACTGGGCTGCTAGCCCAGGTGGACCAGGGGTGCCAATTACTGCCTCTCCCCAGTCTTTTTGGTCCCAGGCAGGTGGGGATCGGGAATGGCTGTGCCCCTTTGGAGTCATGGGAGCCGAAAGGGCCAGCAGGAAATGTGTGTTCCATCGTGAGTGAGATTCTGTCTGTGTCTTCCCAGCTGGAACCAGCAGCCATCCTTGCCCAGAGGTTGTCACAGCTGCCCCCTTCCCCACTCTCCAGGGCCTACCAGTCATTTTAAGGCTCAGAGACATGTGGGTGACAGATTGGCCTGCCCCAGTGACAGGCTGCTGTGTGCTTTGGGGGATGCTGCGGCAGGGACACGATCCCCAGCTTTGGAGTTTGGCGCCGGCCGGGGTGTGCCTTGGGTCTGTGTGGGTGCGTCTTGTGGTTGGGGCCAGTGGTGGTGTGTCCTGCTGGGGGTGGGGTGAGGGCTGACTTGATGCTCCCTGTTCCTGGCAGGAACGCATGCGGGAGGACACGGAATGCCAAGTGTCTGACCTTCTGTGGTCTTGCCGGGAGGGCGGGCTGCCTCGGGCCCTGCCCTGGACCTGGCCGGGGTGTGGGGACTCTGGCCAGCTCTCTGTGTCGCTGACCGGCAACAGCTCCTTTTTGCCAGCATTTGCTCTGCACTGCTCGGCTATCTCCCCAGCTCCCTGTCACTTGGGGTGCAGTGAGCAAGGTCCCACTGCTGGGGGAGCTAGGCTGTTGGGATTGGGGTCCCTGCTTGCCCTGTGAGACCACCTGCTTCTTCTTCCTGCCTGGCCTGTGGATGCCTGGATCCAGCACCCGGGGAGGTGCTCAGAGCACCTGTCGATCCCTCCTTCTGCCTTTGCTAAGGGCGTGCTCCAAGTGGGGCTGTGTACAGATGGATGTAGTCACAGAGCTGTGGGTGCTGCGGCCGGCCTGCCTGCCTGCCTGTGCCAGGCTCATGTGAGACATTGCGGGGGCTAGAGGGAGGGCAAACATGAAGACAGGGAGCAATATCCCTGAGCAGAGATCCACCCCCCACCCCCGAGGCCCAGGCAGAAGCTGGACAGCAGCCAGGAGAGCAGCCTCTGTGGCTGGAGGTCAGCTACTAGGTGCCAGCGCGAAGGTGGAGACGTGCCCAGCTGCTGTTAGGATGACGGACGCATGTTCCAGGCCCACGGAGTAACAGGAGAGAGTTGTACATGGGGTTTGACTATGAAAGTGGAGCGGCCTCCGGGAAGTCCTCCGGCCAGCAGGGAAAGGAGGGACAGTCAGTACAGAAGGGAAGAGAGAGGTGTTGGGGGAAGGGTGCTGTCAGACCCTCTGGAGAGTGAGGGGCCCTGAGGACAGAGGCTGAGGGTCTGTGAGGGGCGAGAAGAGATGGGACCAGTGCTGTTGTGCCCTGGGTGAGAGTCGCACTTGAGCTCTGATGTGGTTTTGTCTCCGAGTTCTCAGAGCGGAGGGTGGGGGTGTTGGGGAAGCAGAGGTGTCAGGGATGTTGGAGGCTGCGTGGCGGCATGGGGGGAATTTCAGACCGGGAAGCACAGGATTTCCTCTTCATTTCCGAGCTTGTCACAGCGCCCCATCCATGGCCAGGCGCTGGGGATGTTAGCCCTGTCACCTTGGGTGTATGCCAGTGTCCTCTGGAAAGAAAGCCACAGCCTGCCCAGGCTGACCAAGTACAGCCCGACTGGCCCTCTAGGCTGGCTCAGGGCTAGCAGTTCCAGTGGCCTGCCAGGAGCCGGTGGGCACCGGTGGTAGTGGTGGGCAGTGATTGCTGGGTGTGGCATCTCCATCGGACTCCTGCTGCCCCTGTCCCCACTTCTGGCCTACCTGGGTGGTTATGGTCTCCCAGGTATACCTGAGAGCAAGGTGAAGCTTACACAAGGTCAGTGCCCGTGGCAGGGCTGGCCAATGGCCTGCAGAGTGGACACTGGGAGTGGCTCAGCCTCTTCCTCCACCCTGCCCATCCCACAGCTGCCCATGGAGCTTGGACCCTGTGCTTCCCCCACCCCCACCTCTCCTGGAGGCATCGTGGGCGGGGAGGAACCTCCAGCATCCTGTGTGTCCTACATGATGCCCGAGGCAGACATTGCTTAGTGTTCACATCACCCCTTATTGCGACATGGCCATTCTCCTCCAGGCAGCCACGACAGATCCAGCGGGGCTGATGCTTGAGACGCTGGGCCTGTTGGCTACCTTTCTACCAAGAACGTCAAGGCCTGGGGAGGCGCTGGTGTGGGAACTCCGTTCCCCTGCCATGCCCCGGTCCCTAGACTGCAGGGAGTGTGGGCCTGGCTCTGTACTGGTTTGAATCTAGCCTGTGAGGCCAAGGCAGGAGCCACTGGCTGGTCTGGACTCCAGTCTAGCTTCTGTCACGTGCTGGTTGAGTCCAGGCAAGTGGCTTAACCTGTCTGAGCCTTAGGCTTCTCCTATTGGAGGCAGTGACAACAGGAATAGCCACAGGGCTGCCTTTGGGCTTCAAGAACAGCCACCTGCTTAGGGAGGGGTGGTGTGAGGCACGGGCAGTTGACGTGGCTCCTTACAGCCTCAGCACACAGGCCTGACCTTGTATGGCTGGGCCATTCCAGTGCCAAGGCTGCCGGAAGTGGTGAGAGATCTTTCCATCAGACTTTCTACCTTAGTCATTAATTGACTCTTATTAGAGTGTCTGATTACCAGGAAACACGTTTTATTTATTTTTATTGGAAAGACATATTTACAGAGAGAAGGAAACACAGAGAGAAAGCTCTTCCATCTACTGGTTCACTCCCCCAAATGGTCACAATGGCTGGAACTAAGCCAATCCAAAGCCAGGACTCAAAAGCTAGGAGCCTCCTCTGGGTCTCCCACATGGGTGCAGGGTTCCAAGGCTTTGGGCTGTCCTCCTGTGCTTTCCTAGGCTACAAGTAGGTGCTGGATGGGAAGTGGACCGGCTGGGATATGAGCTGGCACTCATATAGAATCCCTGCATTTACAGGGAGAGGATTAGCCAATTGAGTCATTATGTCAGGTCCTGTTATTTTTTGAAAGCAGGGTTAGAGATTTCTATCGTCTGGCTCATTCTGCAAATGACTGCAACAGTTGAGGCTGGGCCAGGCTGAAGCTGGGAGTCAGGAGCTCCATCCGAATACCCCATGTGTATGCAGGGACCCGAGTACACGAGCCTTCTTCTGCTACCTTTCCAGGCACATGAGTAGGGAGTGTGGATCAGATGGGATTTGAACTGGTGCTCTTGTGGGATGTCTGCGTGGCAAGCAGATGCTTAACCATGTGTATCACAGTGCCAGCCCGTGGTCTTGTCTCTGTGTTTGAAGGCCACCAGCTCTGTACACAGCAGCCAGTCCCTGGCTGTGACCAACATCCCAACTACTATGCCGTGCTGCTCTGTGCCCATGCCTTCCCTCTGCCTCCTCTCCCAACCCCTGTGCCCAGCAATGTTGCCTTTTTTTTCCAACGGGAGTTTGTCCCCATCTCCTTTTTCCAGCAACATGTCGGATGCCCTGGCCAACGCCGTGTGCCAGCGCTGCCAAGCCCGCTTCGCCCCGGCTGAGCGCATCGTCAACAGCAACGGGGAGCTGTTCCATGAGCATTGCTTCGTGTGTGCCCAGTGCTTCCGCCCGTTCCCGGAGGGGCTCTTCTATGAGGTGAGGATGCTGGGTGGAGTGGAGGGAGGGCAGGGGGCTCTGGGGACCCTGCACTAGGTGGCTTTCTCAGACCCAGATCTGAGTCGGCCCATTGGGAACCAGGGTCATGGCCTTGGTTTTGGCCCAGCATAAGGATCCGGCTGGCCACCTGGGTGAAGTGTGGATGGCACGAGGAGCCCAGGATCCAGTGCCCTCCAGGCAGACAGACACTGGGTGAGCCTTGGGGGGAGGGAGACCCAGCTATGCGGCACCTGTTCTCTGCAGGGATGGTAAACAGTGACCACGGGGTCCCTCATGGTGGTGGTTGTAGGGTTGCTAAGTAAGGGAGATGGGAGAGCAGGGGAGGGAAGCCACGCATACACAAGGGAGCCAGGGAGTGGCAAGGAGGACCGAGCAGGGAAGGGCTCTCCTTGGACCTTGGGGCTTCCCAGGGTGTAGGGCAGAGAAGTCTCTATGTTGCATAAGAGGGCCAAGGATAAAACTGGGAGAGCAAGTGAGACCAGGAGCTGGGCTATAATGGGATGACAAGGATGAAAGTGAAGGGGCTGGGCTGGCCCCCACAAATCTCCAATCAGGGTACATGTCATGGAGCAGTGGGTGGAGCCACCACTTTGGCGGCCAGCATCCTAAACTAGAGAGCCAGTTTTGTAACTGGGAGGTGGTGAATGTTGGCCCAAGTGCTATAGCCTCCATGTTGGGGACCCGGATGGAATCCATGGCTCCTGGCTTCAGTGTGGTCCAGCCTTAACTTTGTGGGCATCTGGGGAGTGAACAAGAGGATGGAAAATTTAATTCAAAGCAAAAATAATACTCAAAATTAGCCACTTATTGATTTCATTTTTTTAAAAGATGTATTTTATTTATATGAAAGGCCCAAATAGCTACAATGACTAGGGGCTGGGCCAGGCTGAAGCCACGAGCCAAGAACCCTTCTGGTTCTCCAACATGGGTGACGGGCTCAAGCACCTAGGCCATCTTCCACTGTTTTCCTAGATGCATCAGCAGGGAGCTGGGAAGGAACTGAAACAGCCAGGATCTCAGCTGGCACTCTGATCTGGGATGGCATCATCGCAAGAACAGCTTAACCCGATGTGCCACAGCACTAACCCCAAAACACTCATTTTAGAGAATAATGCTAATTAAGTTTGCTTTTAAAGAGATTGATTTATGTGACCGAAAAAGAAATAGAGAGAGAGGAGAGAAAGATTCCATCAACTGGTTCATCCTTTAAGTGGTCACAAGGCTGGAGCTGAGCTGGCCGGTAGCCAGGAGCTTCTTCCTGGTCTCCCACATGTGCGTAGGGTCCCGGAACTCTGGGCCATCCTTCACTGCCTTCCCAGGCCATAGTCAGGAAGCTGGATGGGAAGTGGAGCTGCCGAGATACGAACCGTGCCTACATGGGATGCCAGCTCGTCAGGCAGATCAATGTGCTATGCTCCTGTGCTTGCCCCCCAAAACCAAGCTTTCAAAAAAGAAAGCTGTGAAGGCTGAGGAGGCATGCCTGGGCTATGCTTGTGGGCCTTGCCAGTCTGACAGTGACTGCCATGGGTGAGCTCACTGGCTCCTGCTCATCGCACGACCCAGCCCCCGCCCTCCCTGGGTTCCCTGTTTCTGGCTCTTCCCCTGGGGACCCTCTCAGCCCCCCGAGGGAGTGGACTCATCACACAGAGAAGCACAGGAAGCAGGATGAGTGCTCCAAATACCTGACCCTGCCCCAGCTCGAGCTCCTGCCCCACCCCCACTGGCTCTCAGGACCTCGGCCTCACTGACCTCAGCTGCTCTAGCCGTCCTATCCCAGAGGGCCAGACCCCTGCTCCAGTCAACTCCAGCCCAGGCCGGCTCGTGGGAATATTGGGGGCTTGGCCTGACTTCTCTTTGTGACCCGTGTTTGCAGTTTGAAGGACGGAAGTACTGTGAACATGACTTCCAGATGCTGTTTGCCCCGTGCTGTGGCTCCTGTGGTAAGGGCAGATGAGGGGCGCTGGGGTGTAGGGGCCCTGGCTCTGGGGACATCAAGTTCCTTGCTGCTGCTGCCAGAGGTCAGGGAGGGGACTTGGCCTTGCTGGGCAAACAGGCACCTGCCCTCATCCAGGCGAGTTCATCATCGGCCGTGTCATCAAGGCCATGAACAGCAACTGGCACCCGGGCTGCTTCCGCTGTGAGCTGTGTGACGTGGAGCTGGCTGACCTGGGCTTCGTGAAGAACGCAGGCAGGTGAGGGCCTGGACACGTCCCAGGGCGGATGGCAGGGTCCCCAGCCACAGCGCTAACATGCTACCACTACACGTGTCCCCTAACCTGCTTCTCTTGACGGGGACAGAGCCCTAGATGACTTCACATCTGGACAGGGTAGGAGTCCCTACCTGCCTTCTCCCTGGAGGTTCTCAGCTGTGTGCGTGTGTCAGTTCCACTTGAGGTCTACCAGCTGTCCCGACGCCAGGGGCTCCACACTTCCTTCCTCTGACAATTAAGTCAGTTTCCCTTCCTGTCCCATCAGAAAAGGCAGAGTTCCCAGAGTGGTCCCTCTGGCCACTCATGGCTTGGCTCAGGGCTGTCTGTTAAATATCTCCTCCGTCCCTTCCCAATGTGGTCAGCACCCATCGTGTCCATCTGCCGGCTTACAGGGAGGACTGGCACAGTGCCTGGCATCCAGCAGGTTATCTAAATGGGGATGAGGGCAAAGGGAGGAGGCAGGGGGGCTGCCCGGACTGGGAAAGATAGCTGAGAAGCTAAAAGTGCTTTGCAGACTTTGAAGGAGAGGCACAGGAGCTGTGATGGTGGGGACAGATGGCCACGGGATAGGGGAGAGTCTTGCTTAGCCTCCCAGGCCCCCAGCCAGGCTGGCTCTGGAACTGTAGTACCCAGCCCTGGCTGCCCTGGCTGCCCCCATCACTGCCCCCTGCCCGCCGGGCTTTGGACAGGAAACAGCGGAGTGACTTTTGTATCTGCTGAGCAGTTTTCTGAAAGCCACAGTTGGTTCCATTTAGGATCGCTACAGACAGGCACACAAGAGGATGTGCCAGGGTGATGCTGGTTTGGCAGAGGCCCCTCAGAGGGTGCAGGGCTGGATCAGTGGGAGACGGCTCACTGTTCACCTCCTGGCTGAGGTCGGCCTCTTTTGACGGTCCTGGAGCTGGATGACTCCTCCCACCCCGTGAGACCACCCTTCTCACCCCCAAGCACCTGCTGAGACACTCCCTAGGAGGGTTGTCAGGTTGTCAGGTTCACAGCCAGGAACTCGGCTCCCAGAGCAAAGCTGATGCTCAGAGGTCAGCCGGCCAGCCCGAAAGGTTGAGTCCCTGACTCAGTCAGGGGTCGTCTGGCAAGAGGGCAGCGCATAAGGAACACAGGATACCTTGCTCTGCTTTCAAGGCAATATTTAAACAACCCCACCTGCCCCACCCTCACAAGATCCCCAGGCCCGTCTTTGCCTGTGGCGCTTTTCGCTTTCTGTAGGATTCTGTCTGTCGTGGGAAGGAGATGGTGGGCTGGGGTGAGGGGTAACCCTGGGGAAGAAAGACCCGCATTGTCCAAGGAGTGTTCCTCCCGCCGCCCCCCCTCCCCTCCCCTTTCCTGCCGATGACATCACTGAATGCTGAGCGCGGGCCTGGGGGAGCGGACAGGGCTGGGAGAAGGCGACTGTCCCGCAGCAGCCGTCCCCCGCCACCTCCCGCGCCGCACCGGGCCCCCGGCTCACAGCTCGGACCTGGCGCTCAGCGAGCTCTCGTTGGTCTTTGCCTCCAAGCTCGGGGTCGGGCCGCCGGGCTTCTTGCCGCACAGCAGGCTGTACAGAGTATGGCGGAACTTCTCAGCCACGAAGAAGTACATAACAGGGTCCAGGGCCCCGTTGAGGCTGGTGAGGCAGGAAGTGATGCGATTGCCCAGGGCCAGGGCGCGCTGGGCCGCGCAGGTAGTGTGGCCGCGGCGGTATTGCAGCACGTAGATGGAGCGGTGGACGTGGTAGGGCACGAAGCAGATCAGGAAGATGGCCAGCACCATCGCGATCATGCGCACCGCCTTGTTTTTGAGCCGCTTCTCCACGCGGGGGCCCTGACGCAGGCTGCGGATGATCAGCAGGTAGCAGGTGACTGTGGTGACGAAGGGGAAGGTGAAGGCTACGGCCAGCGAAGCCAGCGCGTTGTGTGAGGCCTTCTCCCGGTACAGCTGCAGGCAGACGACCGTGCCATTGGTCTGCACGGTCTGCGGACTCACCAGCAGTGGGGCCATGGCCACGGCCACCACCACCCAGAGGAAGGCGCAGGCCAGGTGGGCATAGAGCGGCCGGCGCAGCTTGAGAGATTTGACTGGGTGCACGATGGCCAGGAAGCGATCGACGCTGATGCAGGTGAGGAAGTAGATGCTGGCGTACATGTTGAGGTAGAAGAGGAAGCCGGTGAGCCGGCACGGGATCTCGCCGAAGGGCCAGTGGCTGCCGGAAAAGTGGTAGACCAGGCGCATGGGCAGCACCAGCACGCAGGACAGGTCGGCCACAGCCAGGTGCATCAGGAACACGTTCGCTGGGGTACCCGACTTGTGATCCCGGATGAACAGCCACAGGGCCAGGGCATTGCCCGCGAAAGCCAAGAGGATGTCCAGCAGGTAGAAGCAGGCGAACAGCACGTTCTCCAGCGGCGTCTCCTGCCCGCACTCCCCGAGGATGGCCAAAGAGGCGTTGGCGGGCAGACTGGGGGAAGAGGAGGTGGCCTCGAGCCCATTCATGCTGTGGCTGCAGACAAACCTGGTGGGGGACAAGTGCCAGTTCACAGGGAGTCCTGGCTAGTGAAATGCCACATTGCACAGAGCTGCTCCAAACTTGGGGCTCCCCAGAGACCCCCCCAGGAGCATTCCCTATGTTCTCTGGAGGTGGGCGGTGGTTCAGCATCAAAGGCATCCCCACTCCAGCCAACTCAAAACCCTGAACAGGAGCTTGGAGCTTGCCCACTGTACACCTGCCTCCCTGGGGAGCAGGCCAGGGTCTGGGGCTGGCACGGGGAGGCTCAGAAATCAGACCACACTCCTCATCCTGCACCTCAGCTTGACAGCTCCCAGCCCGGAGGAGGAAGACGATAGTGGGAGGCCCAGAGACGCACCCCCCCGACACACCTATTTAGTGACTGTCCTGAGCAGTGTGGTGGAGATTGGCCCCTGAGCCCTCCCCTCTGTCCCTGCCTGCCATCTCACTGCTCCCACCCTGTTAGTGGTGACCACAGCACTGAGCCACCCAGGAGGGCTTCTCTGGGCATTCAGTGAAGGCCAGGGCCTGCCCAGGGTGGCAAAGGTTACTTGGTTCCCTGGTGCCTGGGGAAGAGGTGCTGGTGGGAGAGGAGCGCAGGAGAGGGTCCTTGGAGACGTCTCCCTTGGGATTGTATGGACTCTCAGGGAGGTTGCCTTGGAGTGCCCCCATGGAGTTCTGAGTCCAGAGCCCTGGTATTCAGTTACCAGACACCCAGCTACCTGCACAGATACACTCCAGCAGGTGGAGAAACCGGCCTGTCATGATTTTAGGCATCTGAGTAGGAAAGGGATGACTTCAAGAGCCTGCGGCCTCTTTCCCCGGGCCTGTGGATGGGGAAGGGTCATCCCCAGCCACTGGGCTTTAGCCTGCATCCCAGCTGCCTGCTCACCCCCCACATCCCAGCACAGCGCTGGGGAGTCAGGGTCCTCACCTGGGTATTCTGCCGCGTTCTGCGCTGAGCAGCTGGGAGCTGTTTTGGGGTGAGTTGACTTTGAGTGATTCTCCCAGCCTTAGTGACCCCTCTTCCGGGCGTTCCTACCTGCTGCAGGGCTGCCCCAAGGATCCGCAGGGGGTGTCTGGACCTGGAGGATGGTGCCCCAGCACTCAGCCCCTGGGGTGGGAGCGGAGGCTCAGAGGAAGTATGCAGAGCTGAGCAGGGCTGACTGGCCCCACCCTGGGCCTGTGGCAGCCACACCTCCCCCCAGGCCACGTCAGCCCTGGCTAGGCCCCTGGGCCCTCCTCCTCCTCCTCCTCCTCTGGGACCCGGGCTTGAGTCTGGTCAGCTGAGGTCCTGCAGTGCAGGGGATGGCATGCACCCCAGATGGCCACCTTCCCATCAAGGATGTGTGGGATCCTGAGCATCCCGCTGCCCCAGCAGCAGCCTGAGAGCCAGGGAGCTAGAGGGGCTGGAAGGGTGCTGGCTTGGCTTCCAGGGACGTGGGTGCTGGACTGTCTGGCTAGGGTCTCTCCCTCCACTCTTCCTGGTCCCCCGAGTGCCCGTTCCAGAGCACTGAGATTGACTTTCGCCCCTGCCTCTCCCTAGTCCTCTAGCGACACCAGCCTTGCCTGCTTCCTTGCTCGCTCTCCATTAAGACTGTCACGGGGCTGGAAGTGGGGGGTGGGTGTCTCAGCAATATCAAGTCATCAGAGGACTGGGCTTGGGACTTGGTGAGGGGCTGTGGTACCTTGCACCTGCTCCTCCCAGCACTTCCTGGTGCCTGGTGGCAGTGGCCTAGATTGGTGTGGCCTGGACTATGGGCTGCATTCCTTGTATGATTGCCCATGAGGTCAGACTGAGGCCAACACACGCGGGTCAGGCTGTCCTGTTACCAAAGCGATGGGGCTCAGAGGCATCCTGCCTACATGCCTGCTTGCCTGTTTGTCTGTCTGCCCCACCCAGCCCTGCCCCCTTACCTCTCCCAGCTTCTCCTGGAGGCAGGGGTGGGTGTTGGGGGCTAGCGGGTGGGCTGCAGTCCCTGGACGGTGGCTCAGGCGACAGCGGCGGCAGGCTCCTGGAGCCTCTAAGGCTGGCTATTTAAGGAGAGGAGGGACGCTGCAGATCCTGCAACCTTCAAAGACCGCTTCATTCCGGAGGGGTCCCGTGTGGGGTGGGCTGCTCCTCTAGCTGCCCGTGGTGCCACGGGGACCGTGAATATTCCAGTTTGTCCCCAGCCTGCACGCACAGAGGCTGAGTGTGTGGCCGTTCTTGGGAGTCTGGGAGTGGGCGAGGGCTGGTCGAGACGGAGACACAACAGGGCATTTCACAAGGGGATGCTTGCCTCCCGAGGTGGTGGGGGGTATTGAGGGGTCTGCTGCCATGGCAACGGGCTCCTGCTCCCAAAGCCTGGGTGGGTTGGAGTGGAGGGGGAGAGGATTGCATTTGGCCACATGAGAGGGGACTCTGTCAGGACACTTGCTGTAGGGTCCTTGTGTCCTGCCCCGTATAATGAGGCCGCGTTCGGCAGTGCGGGATAAATCACTGCTTTTATCTAGCGCGGGGCCCAGCTGCAGGATGCCTCATAATGGGGTGCTGTCTGTCTTGCCCGGAGCCTGGCCGCCGCCTAGGAAGCTCCTCCTCTGCACGGGATGGCCACTGGCCACCAGTCCCAGGACTCCTCCTGGACCACGTTTGTTTTTGTCTGTGTGAGGTGGGGCGTTGTGTGTGTGGGGGAGGGGGCCAAATTGGCACCCCACTTTCTAAGATTCTTGGGACTGCCTGTGTTGAAGTGTCTGGTGGAGGGGTTTGTCTTTTCATAGAGTGATCACCCCATTCTGCAGACCAGGAGGCTGAGGCTTGGAGATGACTCCTCTTAGAGGCAAACATGCTGTCACGGCAGAACTGGGGCTGTGACTTCAGTCTTGGGCTCTGTTCTTTGTGCCTTTTATTGTTGGAATTCCTGGATTCCATCCTAACTAACTCGACTTGGGGAAAAAAAAAAAAGTTCTGGAATTCCCCAGTAGAGCTTCGAGCTGGGACCAAGGGAGGAGGCGCTGGATACTGTCCCTCAGTTCTCCTGCCCACTCACAAGAGTGGGGTGCAGCGGAGAGGCACGATGGTCCAGGGGGCATAGCCCGGAGCCTGTCAGCAGTTTAGCAAGTGCTGGGCAATCGGACACTCATGGTGGTATGGGGTGCAGTCCGACAGAGGTAGCAGGGGCCTTGGTCCTGGATCCATCCTTGGTGCTTGGTGATGGGACACCTGCACTATGAGTGTGTCTCTTGTGTCGGATTCCCAGTAGTGTCGGGTCTCTGGGGAGGCTAGAAAGAGTGTGTGTTGGTGGGGCGGATAGTACTGGTAAGGGAGGGCTCAAAGGCAAGAGGAATGCATTGAGACTGGGGCAGCAGGTGGGAATTAGGGAGCTGGTGTGGGGGGTTGTGGCACTGATGCAGGCCTTTATGCCTCTTTTCTGGGGATCCTGTATCTTAGTAACCCCCCACCCTGCCCCAACCCGCCCAGCCCAGGAAACAGATACCATGTTGATCTCGCTGTCAGTGGAGCCCACAGCTGCTTGCCCAAGGCAGGGGGCTAACATCAGAAATCAATGTCACAAAAAGGACTCTGTGGCGACTGCTTCAGGGTTTGGGGGGCCTGAGTGTGACACAGCCGCACTTGTGCTACAGACAGAAGACGCCTGTGCAGGCTGGGGCCCCCTCTTTATCCAGCAGGCCCCGAAGCAAGGGGCTGAGCTGATTTCCCCCAACCCCCCATACACTCAGCTGCCACGCCGCCCCGGCACGGGCATGGCTGGCTGCTGGGCCAGCATCCTTTGCGGCTCACGTGTGTTCAGAAATCAAAGCTGACAGTTCTTCTGTGTCAGTCCCTGCTTGGCTCTGTTCCAGGGTCCCAGGCCCCAGAAAGGCGGGTGGGGTGGGAGAAGGCACAGGAGGGGCCCCTTTGCTCTAGCACCTGCCCTCACCCTTCTAGGCACCTGTGCCGCCCGTGCCACAACCGTGAGAAAGCCAAGGGCCTGGGCAAGTACATCTGCCAGCGGTGCCACCTGGTCATCGACGAGCAGCCCCTCATGTTCAAGAATGACGCATACCACCCTGACCACTTCAGCTGCACCCACTGCGGGTAGGTGGCCGTGCCAGAGCCACCGTGTCACCTGGCAAGGAGACAGCGGGGACACTCAACTGTGAGCAGGATGAGGCAGAAGGGGTGCAGAGTGGGACTCAAGAAGTCCCAGTGGGAATCCTGCAGGGTTCTGGGGCCAGGGAGGGCTTGGTACCTGGACTGCATGTCCAAGAGGCACAGGTGCTGGCACTGCCCTGCACAGCCCCAATCCTGACCCTCTGCCAGCCCCTTCTGTGCCCATCTCAGACACAAGCTAAGAAAAGACCTGCCTCTCGGGGGACCCCTGCCCCCTCAACCCCAACCCGGGTTTTCCTTCTTCCACTAATTTCCTGCTCCAGGACTTGTCTGGGACACTCACAGGAAGGACACCCCAAGGCAGCCCAGATCAGAGGGAGCTGCTAGGGGGCTCAAGAGGGACGACAGGGGCTGTGGTGGGCGTGTGGGGGCAGGGATGGCAGCTAGGGGCTTGGCGTTGTCTTCCAGGAAGGAGCTGACGGCTGAGGCCCGGGAGCTCAAGGGTGAACTGTACTGCCTACCATGCCACGACAAGATGGGCGTCCCCATCTGTGGGGCCTGCCGCCGGCCCATCGAGGGTCGCGTGGTCAACGCTCTGGGCAAGCAGTGGCACGTGGAGGTGAGCTGGGGGTGGGCGTGTGGCCACAGGGTCAGGGAGTCCAGCTGTGCTGGCTCCCAGTAAGCAGCGGTCCCCTTCACTGTAATGGGCCAGCTGTCCACGTGAGACTTGAGCCTGCAGGCCATGGTGAGGCCATCTCAGCCACCCTCCCAGCATTCTAGCGGATTTCAAAGTCTGAAACCTTGGGGGATGGTGCAGGGTGCAGACCTGTGCCTCAGGTGGCCTGTTTGAGAGGGTTCTGTGGGAGGCAGTGGGCACCCTGCCTCTCTCCCTCCTGCAGTGCCATACTCACAGCACCCCACCCTGAAGGCTGTTGCAACTTGCACAACTCCCCACCCTCCTGGACTCCACGGGGATGCATTAGAGGAGGAGGGAAGTGTCAGCCCTGTGCCCAGCTGGGAGTCTTCCACTCCCCCTAGGCCATGAGTCCCTGCTTCCTGTCTCCCGGGGTATCCCCCACATGCTCTCTCTCCCTCAGCATTTTGTGTGCGCCAAGTGTGAGAAACCATTCCTGGGGCACCGGCACTATGAGAAGAAGGGCCTGGCCTACTGCGAGACCCACTACAACCAGGTGCGACTGGGCTGAGGGGGTGGCTGGGAGTCTCCCCAGGGACACTCCCACACTGCAGGGGGTCACTGAGGCCAGGCCATCCTCTGACAGCCCACCCTGTCCACAGCTCTTTGGGGACGTCTGCTACAACTGCAGCCACGTGATCGAGGGAGACGGTGAGGCCTCTGAGACCTGAGCCCCTCCCTCCCTCCCCTGCCCCTGCCTGTCTGCCCTCCTGCCCTGCCTCAGGGCTGGGTGTCTTGCAGCTGCAGGCCCAGCTGGTGATGGCTTTGCACAGCTGGGCTGGCAGCTGCTCTAGGCAGAGCCTGCTCAGCCCCCTGTCCGCCCCCACAGTGGTGTCGGCCCTCAACAAGGCCTGGTGTGTGAACTGCTTCTGCTGCTCCACCTGCAACAGCAAGCTCACGCTCAAGTAAGTCAGACTGCCCTCTCCCACTCCACTCAACACAGGGGCAACACCCACAGGGGACCTGGGGAATGAGGGGCATCGCAGCCCCCTGTGGGTCGGGGGACAGCTGGGTGCCACAGAGGGTGATGGCGGAAGGGAGGGCGGCCTGAGGCTCCTCTCCTGGGAGAACTGTGGGGCTGGGCCTGCAGGAGGGGTAGGGCAGAGGACTGGACCTGTCTGGCTGTGGTCGGGGTTGGTGGGGCACCAGGGGCTTGTGTGAAGGCTGGGCCTGGTCGGCAGGAACAAGTTTGTGGAGTTTGACATGAAGCCGGTGTGCAAGAGGTGCTATGAGAAGTTCCCGTTGGAGCTGAAGAAGCGGCTCAAGAAGCTGTCAGAGCTAACCTCCCGCAAGGCGCAACCCAAGGCGGTGGATCTCAACTCAGCCTGAAGGCTTGTGGAGCCTCTCACCATGGCCCCCCACTCTGCAGGAGCCAGCCCCTCACCATCGCCCCGCCTCCTCCTGCAGGCCCCGCTCCTTACCACCACCCCCACTCTGGCCGCTGGGATCCGTCCCTCACCATCGGGACCCCTCAGGCAGCTCGCCCCTGTCCTGCTCTTCTGGTCACTGGGTACTGCCACCCCCCAGTTTATCCATCCCTCTCCTGGTTTCCCCTTTGCTCCAACCTCCCTTAACTCCCATGGGGAGGAGGCAGGGCCTGGGAGGTGGGCAGCCTGTGACCACCCATGGACCCCTCCCAGCACCCACGTTATGAGGTCCCACGTTGTGCAAGTGGCACCTGGGGCTCTGTGGGCCAGGGCCATGCAGACAGAAGCCTGAGGGTGGCCACTTAGCGAACCCTCCACTACTCACTCAACCCTGCAGGGGTTCTTATGCTCACGCTGTGCCCTTATCTCCTAACGTCCCCATGCTCAGGCCATTGGAGGGACAAGTTCCCGCCACTTTGGCCACTCTGCTGCCTTCCTGGAATTCCACCCCATACTAGGTTCTGTGTTGAGGCTTTAAATGGGAGTGGGGCCCAACAGGAGATGAGGTCAGGGGTGGCATCCTCCTTACCCTGCTGGGACACCCCTCCCTCCATGCCCTGAGCAGTCCTGGTATTGGGGTGCACGCTTGCACAATGAAGGCCAACTCATACCAGCACAAAGCTCTGTGTGGTTTGTGGGGGTGCGAGGGAGTCCCAGCCTTCATGCTGGTGACTGCTGGGTGGGTGTGGGGACAGACGCCAAATGACAGGTCCTAGCCCTGGTCTGGGTCAGGCTGTCACCAGGACCCGGACACCGGCCAACCAGGAAGCCTCAGGTCTGCATGGCCAGGCGCACGTGGGCTGTACTAGTGGATGGTCAGGGATAGGTGTGGGGAGCCCGGAGCCTCCAGGCCCTGTACCAGGGGAGGGGGCAAGTACAGGCTGCTGTTAGCACAAGATCATGTAGTCCTGGCTTGGTCCTCGGGCTTCTGCCTGGCCCTCCTGGCCACGTTACACACCCAGGTGTCCCAAGAGGACGGGAGAACAGACACATTACGGTTGGTGAACACTCTCTCCTGGGCCTGAGACGAGGGATGGGAGAGAGGAAGAAGTTGGCTGCAAGAGGACACAGCTGCCATAGCTTCCCTGGACAGAAACTGCAGGCCTGTGTGCTGCCCACCGAGGCCCCTACCCCACCAACCCGCTCCTTTGAGTGGACCCATGAGTTTTTATTATGCATTCTTGGTGTGTGTTGGGGGGGTATCTCTCTGGGCTTTGTGGTCTGTGTCTAATGGAGAGGGGCCGAGGGGAGCTGGGGCATGGCGGGGTGGGTGAGGGCAGGACCTGGACTGCCGGCTATGGGCTGCCCAGGGCTGAGGTCCCAGGGGCCCGCTGTCTGTTCATGGCACTTGTGAGCTGCTGCACGTAGGAGGTCAGCAGATCGTCCATCTTGTAGCCCTGGGAATGGGGACAAGTTGGGGTTAGAGGTCATGGCTGCAGGGTTGGCTGGGGGAGGGGGAGGGGTTGGACTTGGGGATGGGGAAGGGGGGTCCTGGCCTTGCTCTGCCGGGCCCAAGGCTCCTGTGCTCAGCAGTGGCTGGCGGCCCGGGGAGTCCTACAGCCAGGCCTGGCTGGCACTGGGAATGCACCTGACCTCTCTCGAGGTGCTCCGCTGGCCCAAGTTGAGCCCTCCTGGGGGGGGGCAGGGTCAGACATGCAGGCCCTGGTGTCTCCTGGGGCTGTGTGTGTGCTGGATCATGGAGGGGGGCGGGGAACTGGGCTCACCAGAGAGGTCTCGCACAGCAGGCGGTTGCCCCGGCCTAGGCTCCCCAGCACCATGTGGAAGTAGGTGCTGCCACTGCTCCAGCTGGAGATCTTGTTGAAAGGGTACGTGGTGAGCAGCTCCTAGGGACAGAGAGGAAGGTGGGCAGGGCCAGAGCGGAGGCCCACACATGCGTGTATGGGAGAGTGGGGTGGGGAGGGTCGGTATGTTGCTTGGGAGTAAAAGCTCACAGCCCCAGCCCAGCCCAACCCAGCCCAGCCCAGCCCAGCCCTGCCCTGTCCTGCCCTGCCCTGCCCTGCCCTGTCCTTCCCTGCCCTGCCCTGCCCAAGACCCGGCTGCTACCTTGGTCTTGGGGTGGATCAGTAGAACACCACGCCGGTTAATAGCGATGAGGATGATGTCTGGATAGGAGGGCTCTGAGGTTTGCTGTGGGGTAAGGGGGATGGAAAGATAGAGGGGGCGCTTTGGTCACAACCCAGCCTAGGAGGCCAGGTAGCCACTTGTAAAGCTCACCTGGAGTGTACACACGGACATGTGCACGCTCACACTTACACACCCATGCACCCACATGCACATTCAAGTGCACAGAAACACATATGCAGATGTACACACACATACAAACGTGGTGGCGGCCCCACCCTGAGGCTCTGGGTGCCAGGGACCCTGGCTGGGGAGGCAGCCTGGGCAGGGGCGAGACGCACCTTCACCTCGAAGAAGGCGGACCCGAAGGTGGGCCAGCGGCTGATCCACTTGAGGAAGGCCACCTTGGCCTCCTGCACCGTCTTGCTCTTGTGGTTGTTGTAGGCCAGCAGGAGGCTCTGGAGGAGGGGAGGGGAGGGCCAGTGAGGGCTTGGGCAGGGTCATGGCACCTGCCCAGCCAGCCCCCAAGCCCAGCGAGGTGCTCCTTGACCCAGGGCAGCAGTGGCGGTGGGAGATCCCTGGTAAGGGTAGCAGCCTCAGGTGCAACCCCCAGCGGGCAGGACCTTTTTCCATTCCTCTGTGGACATGAGGCGCGTGAGGTTCATGGGCACCAGCTCTTTGAGGATCTTGGGAACGCTGGCCAGCTGGGATTGGTCCTTGTCAAACTGTGCCTTGTAGATGAGGCCCGCCAGGTTTACGGCATCTTCCTGCGAGCACTTGTGGAACCCACGCAGGTACTTGGGCAGTTCCTGAGTGGAGTGGAGAGGGCGTATGTGCCAGGCCTCAGGCTACTGCCCCACTGGTTCCCACTCCCTCCCTTGGTACCCAGGTACTGGGGGTCTGGGGAGCTAACCCATCCCACTGAGGAGAGGCCGAGGGGGTGCTATGGAGGATATTGCTATGGGGCCAGTGGCCTTCCCCTCCACACCCCCAGTTACGATGCAGGTGCTGTCCCCAAACATGGCTCTGCTGTGCTCCTAGCACAGAAAGCCCTCAGTGGCTCCTAGCTCTCCAGGGGCTTGGTGGCCACGGCTACCCTGCTGCCTCCCCCTCTTGGGACAAGTGTGGGGGCATGGGATGGGGGTGGGCACCCCAGGGTACCTGGTGGTAATGCAGGATGTTGTCTGCGTTCATGTCCTTGCCTGGGACCACATTGATCCACAGTTTCCGCATGAAGTACACCTGGTAGGGGAGCGTCACCGGGGCCCCTGGGCAAGGGGCAACAGTGGGCACTGAGCCAGTCCCAGCAGGTCCTGAGGTCCCCTCCCCCGCCCGGGCTCCTGCAGCCTCCCCCACCTGTACGCCCTCCTCCCCTCTCCTCCTGGCCTCTGGCACCTCTCCAGGACCAGCAGAGGGGCTGCCCACCTCAGATTGCCCCTCCCCTGGGCCTCCCTGGGGCAGGGGTCAGGCCCTATGCAGTGCATCCAACTGCTTGGGCCGTTCCTGCACCCTCGCCAAGCTGAGCTGAGCTGGCGGTGTCCCCAGGCAGGGGCCCTCAGTCCCTGACCAATCTGACGACCCAGGGGACACACAGAGCCAGGTGTGCAATGAGTGGCCCTGCTGGGCAGCTCTACCCATCCATCGCGAGTGCCCTCACCTTCTTTCTGGGGCCTGTTCTTCTTTGCCCAGTCTGACATCTGCCTCAAGGAGTCGAAGAAGAAGTCTGCTTCTTTCAGGCTGACCACCTGGTGGGCCGTGGGGAGGCGGTGGGTGGGTGGGTGGGGCGCCCAGGCCAGTGTCATGGATCAGCTCAGGTCTGGTCCAGCGGCCAACCAGGGCCCCGCAGGCTGAGGTCTACTTGGGCCTGGAGCCCATTCCCCATCCCCTCCCTGCCCTCACCCCTCCTCCCTGGCTCCAGGCAGGGCCACACCTTGTCTGTGATCTTGATGAAGAGGCTGCAGCCTTCCCAGGAGGCGAACTGCAGCTTGGTAGCAATGGCCTCGCACACGTCACGCACTCGGCTGCTGCTGCCCACCTCCATCATCTGCGTGCAGGGAGGCAGCGGGTGAGGCCCAGGGCCTGGCTGCAGTCTGAGGTGCAGCCCAGAGGAGGTTTATATGTCTCTCTACTTAGTTAACTTCAGTACTCACTGCCCCAAGGCCTTGCCTCTTGAACTTGCCCTGTAGCCAGCCGGTGGGGACGTGGCTGTTTGCAAAGCCACAAAAGCTACCAGGTGCCTTGGGGAGGCTATGAGGACCGCTCCCACCCAGGTCCCCCAGATCCAGCGCTTGCTGGATCCGATGATCTCCTGCCTCCTGCCAGCCCTTTGCCTACCTCTCCAGGACCAGCAGAGGGGCAGGCTCTGTTCCAACCCTGGTATCTGCCCACCAGTACCCTGGCAAGCCCTTGGGACTCAGCTTGGCCGCCTGTTCCCCGCCAGCCTCCTCTTGTTTTAGCCCACTTGTTGCTGTCCCCAGTGTTGCACCTTGGGGTGACTTCTCCTACCAGCAACCCAACAGCGGCCTCACCTTCTGCACTTGTGCCACTTGGGGCACCTCAGGGGAGGGAGTGAAGGTGAGCTGTGACAGCCCCTCACCCCTGGAGCCCCACAGGGCTGGGCACCAGGTGTGGCAGGGCAGGGACTCACCTCGCTCGTGTCGTTGGGGAGGAAGACATTGTGGTACATGCGGGAAAGCTTCTGCACGGCGGCCTCCACCTCCACCTGGTGCGGCGGCTGCTTCCGGGGCCCTGTCCTGCATTGAACACACACCTTGAAGATGCGGCCCCCAGCCCTGCCCCAGCTCCCAAACCCTGAGAGGGCCCTCAACTAGGTACCAGGAGCAAAGCCAAACCTCCCCCAACCCAACGTGCACCATGCCTGAGGTGACCCTTGGTTCTCAGAATGTCCCAGACGACCCGGGATACACACAGGGGTGAAGCCAGATCCTGGTGGGAGTCACAGGGGCAAGGTCTCACCGCAGGACCCTCTGTAGGCGGCGGCTGCAGTCGGGTGCCAGAGGCTTGGTCCTGCGTGTGTCGAGAAACTTCTGGACGTGGGGCAGCAGTGCCTTACCCGGCGGGAAGAGGCCTGTGCACAGCCACAGCAGCTGCCAGCCACGCTCCTCGCTGTACCTGGTGGTGGTGGTGGCGGGGACAGGTGGTGACAGCATCAGAATGAGCCCCTGGAGGAGCAGAGCCAGGAGCCCCACCCGGGCTTGGTACCCCAGGGAGAGGGAAACCGAGGCCCAGCAAGGCCTGGAGGGAGGGTCTGGAGCTGGCCTCCTCCTCCACCACGGTCAGCAGAGGGCAGGGGTTAAGCCCAAGATCCCTTGGCCCAGGGTGTGTGTGGTTGGTGAGGTCCTGGTCCAGAGAGGGGCAGACCTGTTGGAGTTGTGGGTCAGCTGCTTCAGGATCTGACAGTAGACCTCGTCCTGCAGGGCTACCTCCTGCAAGGCCCCTGAGAAGATCTGGTCGGTGAGCTCCAGGGTGGACCAGGCCTGCCGTGAGGGGTAGTCGCCCATGTACTTAAGGATGGGTGCCCATGTTAAGGAGAGTGGCACAAGGGTGGCTCTGGCTGGGCCCTGACCAGGCCTTCACACTGGCCTTGGTGCCAGTCTTACATGGACCTCTGATCCTGGTCCCATATGGACTCCTGACCCTGGCCCCATACTGACCTCTGATCCTGTCCCCACATGGACCCCTTACCCTGATCCCACACTAACTGTTGACCGAAGCCCCACATTGGTGCTGGCCCAATCCCACAGACCCTTTACCACAGCCATACACATACCCCTGAGCCTGGCCCTGAACTATCCCTGACCCTGCTGACATACTAACCCTGACTCCAGCCCCACAATGACCCCTGACTCTGGCCCTACAGTGACATTTGACCCCTGCCCCACACTGACCCCTTGACCTGGTCCCACGTTAACCCCAACCCTGAGCCCACACTGACCCCTGATCCTGAGCCCACACTGACCCCTGATCCTGAGCCTACTCTGACCCTTCCCCTGGCCCTACACTAGTCCTGACCGCAGCCCCATGTTGGCCTGGACCAGCTCTGCCATGCTCTGCGCAAGGCCTGGTGCTGCTGGGGGACAGCTGTGGGAAGGAGGTTCTGGGGGCTGTGTGACTGGTGGTAGCCTGGGACAGGATATCCAGGAAGGAGTGGCAGGCAGCATCCCGTAGCTCCACGTTGTTGTGCACGCGCTTAAGCAGTGGCTGTCGCAACGGCTCAGCCGAGTAGGCCCATAGGTGGCCCCGCATGCGGGCCAGGGAGGGCAGGGCCCTGCCGACCGTCTCCTTCTCGGGGGCCCTGTGGGGTCACACAGTGGTCTGCATGAGGCCTTGCTCACCCTCCTCCTGTGGACCCAGGGGTGTGCCAGGGGAGGCTGAGCGTCCGGGCTGGGCAGGGGTACCTGAAGGACGTGTAAGAGAACTCTTCCAGGGTGTGTAGCATTTCCTGAGGTGGCTCCTCGGCCAGCGGTTCCATGCGCCCTGTCTCCCGGGCTGCCAACTTCCGCTTCTCAGGGGACATGGCCAGCAAGCTCTGTGGGACACGAGCAGGCCTATGACCTCTGGAAGCTGCTGCTCGTAAAGTCCTTCCCAGGGGGCTCCTCCACTCCCTGTGGCTGGCACTGGAGCATGCCATAGGGCTGGGAAGGCCCAGGCCTACCACCTCCCCTGGGACCACAAGGTGGCCTTTCTGGCTCAACACTCCCCTTTACCCCTGCCCTGTCTTGCATACAGTTGCCACTCAATATGTGCATGTAGAAGGCCTGCCCCTGCATGAGGCTGGCTGGAATTTGAGGGGCAGCTAGGGCAGGCTGTCCGGGAGTCAGGCTTTCAATGAGGCAGAGCTGGGAAGGGGTGTGTCTGTCTCCAGGATGCCCCTGAGTGGGATAGAGCCTCAGTTTATCCAACATTCCTGAGGTGCCAGGCTAACAATCAACCACCCTGCCCCCGGAACATTTAAGGGGCTGGCTGAGCTTTCCAGGTTCCCAGCGGCCATCTGCAGGAGAGCAGCTGGCCTCCCCATCGGCCTGGCCTGTGGGTGCCCAGGGGTTGAGTGAACGAAGGAGCATGGGAGGTACCAGCAGTTGCGCGGAGGGCTTGGTGAGTGTGGGGATGATATAGAGGCAGTTGGTGGGCATCAGCCCCGTCTTGCCAGTCCTGTCGTTCTGGCCCAGCGTCCAGCTCTCGGAGGCCAGCAGCTCCTGCTTCTTGGTCAGGATCAGCAAATCTCCTTTCTTGAAGGACAGAAGGGTGGCATCCTCTGCGGGCCCAGGGACCACGAGAACTGTTGGCTGGGGGCAGGGAGCGGGGCTCCATGCGCAGTGAGGAAGGAGGGTACTGCCTTCTCACAGGTGAGGGAACCCAGGCATAGATCCAGATGCTAGGCCCTGCCTACTGGGCAGGCACTTCTCCCTGCACCCCAAACCTCATGCCCTGCCCTTTCCTCTGCATCCCAGTTAGCACCTGCCCGTTCCAAGCACCCACAGGAACTGCATCCCTGCGCCTCCAGTTCCATGTCTAGAACAGGGTGCAAGGGGCCTGATGTGGCTGGACTCCCCCAGTTCCCACTCCACGTCCTGGGCGAGGCTGGCTCTGGCTGGTCTGGGACCTCATTTTGCAGAGTGGGAGGGAGGGAGTGACTGGAAAGGCCATACCTTGCCTGAGATACCCTCCCTCTGGTGGATCCCCACAAGACCCCTCCCCACCGCCCCCCATGAATGGTCCCTCCCATCGGACAAGCACCTGTAGCCTTCCTGTCCTGCAGGGCCATGGTGAACACGGACCTCTCCTTGAGGCCTTCCAGAAACAGGGCCACCAACTCGGCGATGGCCACACAGCTGGGGGATACGAACTCATAGTCGTCATGCAGGGTGGTCAGCAGCAGCCTCTGCCTGCCCCGGGCCTCCCTGAGGGGACACAGGGTGCAGTGTGACCATGGACCTCCACCAACCCTCCCGACAATGCCAGGCAGTCTTGGAGCAGGTGACCCTGCCAAGGTGCAGACTGGAATGGCAGCGGGGCAGGGGTCTGAGCCTGGTAAGCCTGAGGCTCAGGCTCCCCTGCCAGGGAAGATAAACAGGTAATGGCTGGAGCTCAGGGTGCCTCTGGGGGCTTGGAGGCAGTAGGTGGCTCCCTGCCCTTGTTCGTTGGGACAGCTCTGGGCAGGCACTGGAGTGGCAGACTTGCCTGGCTACTGTACAACATGTAAGGGCTGAGATCATGTGCCACTCTGGGAGCCTGATGAGCCATCTAGCCTTTGTGTACCTCAGTTTGCCCATCTGTAAGATGGACGATGCTGGCATAGTAGGGACATCACAGCACACTGTCTGCTTAGCCTCCACGAGGGGTGGCTGGGTGAGTCTGGAACTGCCTGCTGGTCATGTGTGTGTGTGCCAGAAATGCCACGCTGAGGGACTGTGGTGTAGCATCGGTGGAGCCTTCTTCCTCAAGGGTGTGGAAAAGTTCCCAGTGGTGCAGAGCCAGGCGGAGAGGTTGTCAGAGACATAGCCCCTTTAGGACCCTGTGCCAAGAGCAGCTGCACTCTCTGTGGGACCAGCGCTCAGTCAAAAAAATAAATAAATAAATAAATAAAGGCGGGAGCTTATTAAGGGACTGAGTGCCTAGAAGACCACACACACGGAGGGTTCAGGGAGTACAGGCAGCCTGGGGGCAGGACTGGGGTACCCCGGTGCAGTGGCTGCTGGACAAGCTGGGCCTGGTCCCCTCACCCCGGCATCGCTTCCAGGTCTCCCTCCCCAGATGCATCAGACCCTAGGACACTTAGGGTTGCCAGGAGACAGCCCACCTGTTGGTGACCAGACTCATGACCTCTGGGAAGGACAGTTCCAGCAGTATCTTCTCACGCTGGTCCAGGAAGTACAGGCCTTTCCAATTGATTGCCAAGACCAGCTGCGCCTTGGGGAGGTGGGAACCTGGCCAGGATGGACATCAGAGTGAGGGCTGCGGCCCCTGCCTCGGGGAAGGGTTGGTGGGTGCCCGGCCTGCCCCTTCCTGTCTTCGCCCTATTAGGGGGCCATTACCAGAGAGCGGGATGACCTGGAAGAGCCTAGAGAAAAGCAGTGGCCACTGCAGACGGGCGGCATCCACTACCTGCTCCCGCACCGCCTGAGGCGTGTCCTGCACCTGTTGGAGAGAGGGAGGACCCTTAGTGTACCTCCCTCACCCACCCAACAAGCTGGGGCATGCTTTGGTGGGTCGTCCTGGGAAGGGCTGCTCGATGGTGGTGGTGGTGGCAGGTGGGGTATGGCACCTCCGGGGGCCTGGTGTGTCCCTCCTGCACCTGCGGGTGGTGCTGGGAAGGGAAGAAGTCCTTCTGTTTGTGGGCAGTGAGGTTGTGGGGCATCTCTGGACAGGGGGCTGTGATGGCTGCGGGCCTGATTGGCCTTGGATTTGCCGGTTCCTGCTTGTGAGTCTGTGTTTCGCTGGGCACCTTTCTTCTCTGCTTCTTCTGCCCACTCAGGGGCCTCCCTGCAGCTCCTCACCTTCCATTCTTCCTTTGGTCCTTCCTGACTGGGCTGTGCCTGCAGCCTCTCCTGCCTCAGCTGTTGCTGTGTTGGTACGAACCAGCTACAGTGGGGCTTCCCTGCTTATGGCCTGGTAAAGCAGTAGAGAATGGGCCAAAGCCTTGAGCCCCTGCACCCACATGGGGAACATAGAAGAAGCTCCTGGTTCCTGGCTTCAGAGCAGCCCAGCTCTAGCCACTGCAGACAATTGGCAAGTGAAACAGTGGACAAAGATATCAATCTGGCTCTTCTCTCTCAATCTACCTTTCAAATAATTTTTTTAAAGTTTCAAAAACTTTCGTCATTCCACATCTTCCGCACATTTGCCGGATTGTGCCTGCTGTCACACCCTATGGGCCTTTATGTCCAGCTGGACGGATACAGTGTTGATTCTCTTGTTTCCACTCTTGGTGGGGGGAAGTGGCCCTGAAGTGGATGGCCACAGTCTGGCTTGGAGGTGGGAGGCTTAGCAGCTGTTTCCTGTCTGGGGAAATCTGCATGCATGCCACTTGGGCATCTGTTGTTTAGACTGTCCATGCCCTTCAGCCGCAACCTGGGATTTCCCCTGTGCCCAGCGAGGGCACACGGAGAGTCTCGGGGGAGGGAGAGTGTGGCTGAGGGTGAGGAGCTGTTGACGCCCCCTGATGTCCAGAGGCTGCAAGACATGCCAGCAGAGTCCCAGTTCTCTGGAGCAGGGGTAGGTGGCCTGCCCTGTGACAGGAAGCTGGGCAGAGCAGGCTCTAAATCTGCCGGGGAGCCTAAGCTCGCTGGGGTGGGGTGGGGTGGGGGCAGACGGATGGATCTGCTTACTCCACACACCTTGCCCCTCTCCCCTAAAGACTGACCTTGGCTTGGGCGGCCATGACGAGGCTGGCCCATTTCTCAGGGGACTTGGTCCTGTACAGTCTGAGGGGCACGCAGCCAGGCAGCAGCTCCTGGATGGCCTTGTTCCCCGCAGAGGGACCCAGCTGCACGTGGCAATGGCGGGCTAGCAGCTCCACCAGCTCTTCCTCCTGCACACACAGGACAGTCGGGGAGAGGAGGGGGAAGAGGGGAGGGTTGTGTGAGAGCTGATCTTCCTTCAGCAAGCCCATCCAGCGGCTCAGCTCCTGCCTTCAGCACTGGGGCAGTTATGCATACGGGAGCTGGAGCAGCTCAGGCCTGCTCTGGGCAGTTGAAGCCTGAGGCTAAGCTGTGCCCCTGACTGAATTTTAGTGTAGAACCCAGGCGTGGCCCTGAAGAGCTCAGAATGCAAGGCACCTGAGTGGCCCAACTTGTGGAGGGATGCAAGCCAGTCTGTTCTCTCTGGGAGGCCAGAGGCTTGTAGCACTGCTGTTCCCCACCTGTGTCCCTTCCAGGCAGGTGCCCAGAACTGGTCCCCCAGCAAGCTGCAGGTAGATCACACCTTCAGACATGGGGGAGCCCCAGTGGTGGGAGTTGCGGGGGGTGGGATAATGGGACTTGGAATTCGGGCACGTGCTTCTGTTGCAGAGAATCAGTGGGGTCTGGGGCTGATGGGGAGGCTGTCCCTGCCTGATACTGGCACCCTAGGCCCCAGAGACTTGGGCAAAGCTGCAAAATTGTAAAACTGGCCTGGAAGGAAGCAAAGGCCTGGACCTGCACCCCTGCTGCCCTTGGCCCCAGCCCTCCTCACGCCCCCTCCCCTCCCAGCTAGGCCCCCGCTCACCTTCTCAAAGCCGTACTCGCCCGACCAGACTCCGTGGAGGACTTGGCGGTAAATGAGCTTAGTGCTGACTGGGTCCTCCCGGGAGTCATGCCAGGGTGTGAAGAACTCCTTCCGGAAGTAGATGCGCCAGGGCGACTGGCGCTGGCTCTCACCCTTCTCCTGGGCCAGCTGCTCACACTGGGCCACGGCGTCCATCAGGTGGTCACGTCCACAGCCCAGGGACCAGAACTGAGGCCAGAAGCAGTAGCAGGAGTAGCAGTGAGCAGCTGCTCTGTGCCATGCCTGCTCCCGCCTGCATGAGGATGTTCCTCCTCCCACCATGTGCACATACGGGGGACCAGGACCCTCAGAGCCTAGAGTGGACATTACTGAGTCCCTTGAGCCCCACGGAGACTCCGCCTTGCCTAGCCCCTCCCAAAAGAGGTCAGTGGGTCTATGGCCATGTGCTGTGCTGTCTGCTGGTGCCATGGTCCCAGCCTGCGGCCAGAGATTCCATACAGTGGACGGGGGTGCTGGGGTTTAGAGGCCTGGTCAGGTGCAATGTGCAGGTGCAATGTGGATGCCTTCAGCTTGGGCACCTCAGGTGCAGGTGTGATGTAGATGTCTCCAGCGCAGGCATCTACAGCTTTCAAGGCACGAGAGAGGCAGGTTGGGATGCTGATGTGCATGCTCAATGTTGTGTGTGGGTCTGGCTGGGGAATGACGGGCAGGTTTGAGGCAGGGGCACAGCTTCTGGCTGCATCTGTGAATGGGCAGCAGGGCAGCAGGTGTGTGCAAATGGACAGGTATGAGGAGGAGGAAGTCAGGAGTGATCAGGACAGGTGTGAACAGCGGGACAGTGAGGTGAATTCTTGAGACACAGAGTCCACACCCAGATGTGAATTCCTGCATCCGAGCTTGTGAATACGTGAGCTAGGACAAGTTCCCAGGAAACTGTGGAATGTCGGGTAGACATTAAAGATGTGTATCTCATCTTGAGAATGTCTTGCCAAACAACTAGTTATATATTAAAGCCTTGCCTGCTTCTCCCTGCACGTATACAGAAGTGGCTGTTCCACAAGCTTGAGATAATAAAAAGCTAGCTGGGTCCTTTGTCTTGGCCATTCATCTTAGAGACTGAACAAACTCTCTGGTCTTTCTCTGCAGGCCTGCTGGAGTGACTGTTCCTTTGGATGTGTGCAAGTTCACGTGATGTGGATGGGCACCCTCAAGGGAGATGGGGCAGGTGGTGCCCAGGCTGGCTGCGGATGAGAGGCCACAGGTGGAACACGGGTGCGACCCTCACCTTGTCATACACAGCGACCTGGAGGGAGAAGCCCAGGTAGTCTCTGAGGTCCTGCTTCTGGGCGATGTGCTGGCAGATCTCGCGGGACGTGGAGGCCGAGTCCACCATGACCGTCAGGCTCTCTCCGTTGATCAGGATGACGTTGATGGGTATGTGCTTCTTGGACTTGACAGCCTGGTGGGGGGAGGGAGGGGATGGACCACGGGAAGGCTCTGCTCCTCTGGTCCAGTGGCTGCCCAGCCTGATCGGGTCTCACGGCCGGACTCCCACACGTTCAAGGGCTCTGGATCCCATTCTTGGGAACCCATGCTCCTTTGCCTTTGTGTGACAGTGCGGTGACACGTGCAGCTGCCACAAGCTCCCCTTTTATTCCAGGTCATGAAGGGTGCCCCGTGACCTTGGGAGGGACAGGGGTGAATGGGGTCCCCCATCTAGAACCCCAGGGGAGGACAACAGAGGCAAGTGCCTCGGTGGGGCTGGGTGCAAGCTCCTTCCCTCCCCCTCCCCCATCAGCTGTCCTGCACGACCTCTCCCAGAGACATGGCGAGAACAAGCAGGTGACAAAGCTGCCAAAAAACAAGGAGAGGAGACACCTGCCCCCAAGGCCAATGCCACCACAGATGAGGACAGATTAGGTGTGGGCACCGCCCCCTCTTTATGGGTCGGAGGAAGGGCCGCAGCAGGGCAATCAGCAGGCATGGATTCTCCTTGTCAATGGGGAGACTGAGCTCCAGTGGTTATGGACAGGGACCACTGACTAGAAGGCTCCATGGTGGAGATGGGGAGCACAGAAGACAGTACCCTGCAGACAGGAGCCCCATACCACCCCTCCCCGCCAGACCCTACCTGCAGCTCCAGGTAGGTGGGGGGCTCCATGCGTACTCCATTGGCACAGGTACGGCGCAGGCGTTCCGCACAGAAAGGCCCATAGCCCACCGGCCCTTGGCTGATGAAGTTCAGCAGGTACTGGTGGTGACAAGGGGAAGAGGCAGGGTGGATGCTCATTGTGAAGGTTTATTCGCCTTTCTGTCCAGGGCGATCTGGACAGTTACAACCAGGGGTGGGTGTATAGGGGTAAGTCACAGTGCCTGGGTGTGATGCCTGGCTCCAGCTCCTGACCCCAGCTTCTTGCTAACACGGACCCTGGGAGGCTCAGCAATGGCTCAAGGGATTGCGTTCCTGCCAACCATGTGGAAGACCTGGGTTGAGTTCTTGGTTCTTGGCTTCCGGCCATTGCAGGCACTTGGGGAGTAAGCCAGCAGGCAGATCTCTCTCTCTGACCATCAGACACCCCAGTCTACACAGGTGTGTTGAGATGACAAAGTGGTGCAACTATGGGGAGGGTGGATGGTTTAAAATCTCATGTTTTACTCATCAGAACCAAAGTTTGTTAAGTGGGGAACGCTGTGGCATATTAGACTAAGCCAGCTCAAGTCTGACTGCTCTGTTTCCAGCCTAGCTCCCTGCTAATGTGCCTGGAAAGGCAACAGAGATGGTCCAGGGGCTTGGGCCCTTGGACCCAGGAGGCAGACCCATATGGAGTTCCAGCTCCTGGCTTTTGCTTGGCCCAACCCAGGCTGTTGTGGCCATTTGGTGGAATGTAATAGTGTATGGTTTATCTCCCCCTCTCTCTCTCTCCTTCTGTGTGTGTGTGTGTGTGTGTGAGTGTGTGAGAGAGAGAGAGAGAGAGAGAGAGAGAGAGACTCAGCCTATTGAACACACACACAAACCTAAAAAAAAAAAAATCTCCCAGGGATATTTTTTAACGAGCGGGCATCAAAATTCTGTGAAAGATAGAATGAAAAGTTGAGTTCATCTTGGAGCAAAAATAAAATGTCAAGCCCATGCATACTCCTCTCACATATTTGTCATGAATTTCTGGAAGACCCTTCATATACATGAAATTAAAAACATTTTTTTTTTCTGGGTCCAGTGTGTGATAGCCTAGTAGCTAAATCCTTGCCTTGCATGCATCAGGATCCCATAGGGGTGCCAGGTCATGTCCCAGCTGCTCCACTTCCCATCCAGTTCCCTGCTTGTGGCCTGGGAAAGCAGTGAAGAACGGCCCAAAGCCTTGGGACCCTGCACCAATGTGGGAGACCCGGAAGAAGCTCCTGGACCCTCGCTTTGGATTGGCTTAGCTCCGGCCATTGTAACCACAGGGGGAGCAAACCCAGCAGATGAAAGATCTTTCTGTCTCTCCTTCTCTCTATAAATCTACATTTCCAGCAAAAATAAATACATCTTAAAAATATTTTTTCTCTGCACATGAGTACACTTGCAATGTAATTTCCCATAGGCTTTCAAAGTGTCCTGAACTAGGGCAGTGAAGCCTGGAACTGTGGAAGCTCCTGGCCTGCACCTCCATGTCCGGTTCCAGAAAGGAACTGAAAGGGCCAGAAGAAGGTGCTGGGGCTGGAGCCCCACTGGCCACCTGCCTTCTCACAGTTCACTCCCTTTGCCTTCTCGCCCTAGTGCCACTGAGCTGGGGCCAAAGGGCTCTTCAGAGAAATACCCGGAGCTCTCTTTTACAAATGAGGAGACTGAGGCTGGGAGAAGCCCAGACCGCCTGCATGTGAAGGAGAACCCAGGCATGCACCTGCTGTGGCTGCCCTCTGGCCCCCGGCCCCCATGCCAGCCTCTTCCCCCACCTTCATGAACCTCTCTGAGGGCGGGAAGCAGCCCAGGCAGAGGCTCAGCAGGATCCAGCCCCGTGCCACGCTGCTCTTCTTGGCATTCCCTGATAGTTGCTTGCAGATCTGGCAGTAGATCTCATCCCTGAGAGACATAGAGTGCTGGAGCTGTGAAGGCAGGCTGGGGCCAGGCATCCCTGGGTGGATGGGGGGCCTCTACAGGGGAGTTCTTCCAGCCCTGGGACTCTCCTAGCCCCGGGAGCCACTCATGGATCCTTGCTCCTGAGCAAGGCTCCTGTCGGCATCCCATCCCTCCTCTCCTGGCCAGCTCCTGCACCCCCACCTTCGGGAACCTGCCTTCTCTGTTTCCTTTGGGTAAGGGATCCTTCCTCATGGGCTCCAGCCTCCATCAGCTTGTAACCCCTCAGAGCCCCCACACCCAGAAGCCAGTGTCTGCCCTAATACTTAGTGGTTTATGCTTCTTAGCCAACCCTCCGGGGTGGGGAAGCCCAGATTCCGTTCATTAGCCAATTCCAGTGTTGCAAATCTTCCCACCAGAGTATGGCATTGTGGCATGTTGTATTAAACCATTATCTGTGACACTGCCATCCCATATAAGTAATGGTTTGAGTACCATCTGCTCCATTTCTGATCCAGCTCCCCACTAATGCATCTGGGAAAGTGGCAAAGCCCAAGTGCTCGGGACCCTGTACTTACAGTGGGAGGCCTAGAGGAAGCTCCTGGCTTCAGCTGGCCCAGCCCTGGTCAGCTTTACAGAGTGAACCAGCAGATGGAAGATCTTTCTCTCTCTCCCTTTTCTGTCTGTCTGTCTCTCCCTCCCTATCCCAACCCCATTAACCTGTCTTTCAAATAAACATATCAAATCTCACCATTCAGGCCCTTTACAGGCTGCTAGTATCACATCACTGGACACAGGACCCTCAAGAACTGTAGGCTCTGTATCTCCTCTTCCCATGGTCTGTGTGCATTGTCATCAACTGGTCACTCCTAACCAGATGCCCAGAGCCAGCCTGGGCCCTCTCATTCCTTCATCTCCAAACCCCATCAGCTGCCCCATCAACCCCTGACTCCTGGATGCTGCTCTGGGCTCTTGCGCTCTGTGCATTGGGCGCAGACATATCAACCACGATGTCTGGAATACAGCCCAAGAATGTTATACTTTTAAGCAACCAGGAGCACACCATCATTTTTAAAGAGGAGAGATAGTGATTGGCCCCAAAGATGCACATGTTAGCTTTGTACAAAAGACTTGAAAAACTGTTGGAACTCTGAAGACATAAAGAAAATCATGCTGACAGGGAATGAACAGATCAAAAATCTTGGTAGAGAATCAAATATGCAAAAGATGCAGGGGCAAACTCTGGGACTGAAAAATATGGTACCTGAAACCGTAAAATTGGGGAGACTGAAAGATCAGGAGGAATGACTCCACCTAGAGAAGAGGAGAGCAAACAGGAAAAATGAAGAGTATCACACAGATTTTGTTAGAGTTTGAAGGAACAGAGTGAGACAGATGAGAGAGAATGCATGCCAGTGCTGATGAAGACAAAACTCTCCTAAAGTGAATGGTACAGGGGCAGAATACATACAATACAAACTAGGAGCCTGCTCTACTTCCAGGGTTCAGTGCTAAAGCTTGTTCTGGAGCAATCCTCAATCTATGGCCCGAGGCGGGCAGCGGGCTGAAGAGAGATTTCTGGGGTGGAGGCAGGCTGTGACCGTGGGGACTGACCTGAGGTCGGGCTTCAGGATGGCGTAGGCCACGATGAAGTGCACCTTCTCCAGGTTGGACATGGGTCTGTCTGAGATGGGGCCGTCAGGGTCCAAGGCATCTTCCCCAGTGTTCAACTGGCTGGCCACCTGGAGGCCCAAAGGCAATGGTCAGGATCCTTGACTCTTCCTGTCTGCCCTGGAGGAGGAAACTGGGGTATGGGGAGTGAGGCTATAGCCCCGAGCTAGGTGCCCTGGCCCTGGCTCACCTGGCTCGTGATGCGGGAGGAGCGTTTCAGCTTCATGGAGGATATGTCTTTTGTTCCTTTGTCCCTGTGACCCTGCCAGAGTGATGGGGAGACAGTTCCAGAGGCTTTGGTGAGTGTGGGTGGAGTCTTAAGGATGCTGGTCCCCATGCACCTGGGCTGGGACCAGCTCCCATCTTGGCAGGCTCCCTGTCTTATCCACTCTTTTCCTGGGTTGATTTGCAAAAGCTGGTGGGGAGGGAAGGGGGTCTGCTGGGCTTCCCAGGCAGATGTTAAGCCTCATTGTGACGGTAAGAATTTGCTGATGAATCAAGGACTTGGAGTGAGAATGGGCTTGGGTGGGGAGTAGCCTGGATCCAGAGCTGGGCACCTGCTGCTGGCTGGGGGAGGTTGATTTGTGGCACTGGGACTGGCTGTGAAATGCACCAGCTGGCCAGCTCAGCAGGGGCAGGTGGTACTTGCGTGGCCTCCTGCTTTGGGAACTGTGGTCCCTTGACAATATGCACAGGAACAAAGACGCAAGATCCCATCTCTAGGAGGCCCGGTCTGCCTTCCCCCAGTCTCTTTCCTCCTAGAGTCCCTTCAAGCAATAGTCCCCCTGCTCCCAGCTGGTGGCTCTAGCTCAGCTCAGCTCAGCTCAGCCCAGCTCTGCCACTGCAGCCACCTGGGGGTTGAACCCAGTAGATGCGTGCAAGATCTTTTTCTCTATCTTTCCCTCTCTGCCTGGCCCAGCCCTGGCTGTTGCAGACATCTAGGGAGTGAAGCAACAGATAGAAAATCTCTCTCTCTCTCTCTGTTGTTTGTTCCTCCTTACTCTGTGTAATTCTTTCAAATAAACAAATCTTAAAAAGAAGAAGAAACGAGTGGGAATTTGGCTTCTATTGGAGAGCAGAGACAACATGGTCAGTTCCGCAGAATGCATTCCAAGCCCAGCTCCCACAGAGGTGTCCACTGGGGTGCAGCGGGGGATAGCTCTGCTTCTCCACATCTTGGGCTACAGCTAAACACAACGGTTCCTACCCTGCAGGACTTCTCCACCCCATCCTGCCATACACGGTGCAAAGGACAGTCCATGGGGGCCCCGGAGTGCCACTACAGGAGAAGCAGGGGCGCACAGCTACTGTCTTAATGGTTATTTGTGATTCTCATTAGATATATTTCACTTCAGTTTGAGTCAGAGCCCAGGGCACTCCCTATGAAAGACTGTGCATGGTGACAGCCCAAGAGAGGGGTCTGGACCATCCTCTCCTTCCTGCGCAGCTTCCCAGATGGTAGCAGAAGTGGGGAGAGCAAGGTGCTCACCAGGGAGGATGCAGCATGTGGTGAAGCCCGCAAACTGCCATCCACGGCCAGGGCATCATGGATCTGCCGCAACATGGAGCCACCGTGCAGGCTGCTCCTGGCGTAGAGCATGGGCTCCGGGAGATCGCCCATGAACCTCAGGATGATGGTCCACACGGCCAGCGCAGCCTGGAAGGTGACATGGAGGAGGCAGCTGGATGGAGCCCAGCTCCCTGCCACAGGGTCCACAGCAGCCCCAGCCCCCCTTCCTCACTCCGTCTGGCCCTGCACCACTCTGGGGCTTGAGCCACCAGAGAACCACGTGCACGGCACCTGGCAGTCAGTGTCACTCTCATGGTAGAGCAGCGGGTAGCGGAGTGGCCGTTGGATGTATGTGTGGCTGGCTGATTTCTGGAAGTAAGTGGCTGCGAACTTGGGGAAGCTGTACTCGGCCAGGCCGTCCTCATCTTCCTTGGGCTCCTCCAGCATGGGGACTGCATCCAGGTCAATCTCAGGCAGCTTCTGGGCCTGGCTCTTGTTCTGGGTTTTGGGTTCCAGGTCCTAGGTGGGCAGAGATCAGTGGTCCTTGCACATTCCAGCCAGGCTATCCTGTGTTGCTGATGGGTAGGTGGGGGGCAGCCCTTGGGGATGTGGGGCCTGGGGAGTGTCTGTCTAGTCAGCTGTCAGGTGCATGGCTCCTGTTCAAGGTGGCCCTCCCCCATCCACACACCCAGGGACTAGAAACGTGGCTGTCTGCCTTCCTCCTCGGTAGTCCTCCAACCTCAGCTTGGGACTGTGCTTACCTCGAAGCGTAGTGGGGCTGGACCCTCCTGGCCCCCGATCATGGCAGGGAGGAAGCCAAACAGCTGCTCTACCATCTCGGTGTCGGTGACAGTGTCATAGATGGATGCACGCTTCTTGGCAGGGGGAAGGCTTCGATTCTTGGGCTTCCCAGTTGGGGTGACCACCAGGCCCTGCACACATACACACACACATACACAGGGCAGGGTACCAATAGGCCCAGTCTATTCTTCTTCCACAGCCAGCCCCTCCCGGGGGCCAAGTGCACCTCATCCTGCACTTTTGTCCCCATCAGTGGATTGTCCTGTTGAATAGCAATCTCTGCCAGCTATGGTGGCTAGCTAGTAATCAGCGTTGGAGGGACCCCAGAATCCAGCTGCAAACCACCATGCAGGCTCCCTCTTCATTCAGAGGGTGGGAGAGTCCTGGGACCTGCACTCGCTGTCTTGAAGCCAGGCAGGGCTGACTTGAGGCAGAGGTGCTGAGGGCTTCCCTGTCTGATTCTCTGACACATGCTCTTCCCGGTGCCATTTCATTGCGCAGCCCTAAGATCTCATCATGCTACACCAGGCCCCTGCCTTATCACCTCTGCATCTGGAGCCATGTACATGGGGATGCAGTGGAGTCTCGGGTACCACCTATGCAGCAGCGCATCCTGGGTGCCAACGCACTGGTCCCTGCCTTTCATCTCCCAGGCCCTGCATGGCTGCCCTTGGCATGTCTCTGCCCCCTGAGCACTCACACGCACTCCAGCACCCTTGCTCTCTTCCTGGGAACTGTGGTCTCCCTTTCTCTCATGTGGTTTAGGTTTTCTGTGCCCTTTAGGGTACCAAACCATTTCTGCTGAGAAACTGTCCTGCCTCCTGTTTGTTCATACCCTGCTGCACTCCAGCCAGAGGCACATTCCAGGGCAATCACCTACCTTCTGGCGCTGGAAGTTCCGGCGGGCAGCCATGCCCCTGGCATGTGCCTGGATGATGACCACTGCCTTCTTCTTGGCCTGCACTTGCTGGCGCACCAGATAGCCCCTGCAGCGGGCCTGCAGCTGCACCATCTTCTGTCGCAAGGCCTGGAACTGCCTGGTCAGCAGGTGGCTACGGGCAATGGCCTGCAGGCGTTCGAAGCCCAGGAGGATCTATGGAGGCAAGATGGAGCCGGGCTCACACATAGGGACAAGTCCCTTCCCCACGGGACGACCGTGACAGTCACCTGCTGTTTGGGAAAGGGCTGGCTCCAACCCTCCCTCACCGTCATCAATGAAATCGAGCCCACCCTGCAAACAAGTGCTGAATCAGCACCTGTCTACTAGCATGAGCAATATGATGGTTTTCCAGGGACCATGAATAGACAGAACTGGCCTACACTTCACACAGGCCATTGGACTCCAGAGGCCCTGCTTGCCATGCCTCCTGGTCAGTTCAGTCAACCTGTTGGAGGTTTGCACAGTGTGTGGAATCTGTGCCAGCTCCACTGACTGGGCTTATTTTTCAAGGTGGAGGTCATGGCTACAGAGACTTGCTGAGCAGCCAGTGGGGAAGAGAAGCAAGAGGTGGTGCTCGACACAGAGAAGGGGGCGCCCATGGATTCCCGAGGACACCTCTAGGAGAGCATCTGGGAGGCCACTCGTCTCTTGTGCAGGGGTCCCCTGGACCCAGCTCTCACCAGCTTGAAATTCTTCCTGCTGCAGTAGCCTCGCCATGCAGCCTGCAGCACCACAGCCGACTGTCTCTGCTTCAGGAACTCCTTCCTGGAAGGGGGAAGGCAAACGAGAGAGGAACCCTAGGGTGGGACCAACAAAACGCTGGTGGAAACAAGCAGTTCCTTTCCTCTGGCCACCCACTCAGGGCTGGGACGCAGTGGAGAACCTGGGGCTGGACCCTGGCGAGGCACATGCCTCCAGGTCAGCTTGGTGCAGATGGGTGTGGTGCTATTGTAGGCTGCACTGTGTTTTCTTGCCATTTCCAATCAGTTTTCAAGTTTTCTTAGGCTTAAAGAACAATTACAACTATATCAAAATCATCTGGAAAACTTCAGTATTTATTGATGCCTTTCCAATGAAGTCAGAACTTGTGGACAGTGGGCTAAACCACCAGCATCCTGCATCAGAGTACTGGTTTAAGTACTCTGCTCTGCTTCCAACCCAGCTCCCTGCTGATGCACCTGAAGAAGAAGATGGTTCCAGCACTTGGGTTTCTGTCACCCAGGTGGGAGATTTGGCTATCTGGGGAGTGGATCAGTGAATGGAAGTTCTCTCTTTCTCTCTCTCTTTCTTTCTCTATCACTGTGCCTTTCAAATACATACAAACCAATTTTGTGGGTGTGTGGGGGAGTTAGAATGTTTGCTGCTGGGTCTAGAATGTACACACACACCACACACACACACACACACACACACGCACAAACTCCCCCGAGATTCTAACAGGTAACCAAAGCAAGCAATGGAATACTCTAAGAACAAAGATAACTGTCTCCTTTCCAATATTTACACTAGAGGTTCCCGACTGTTGGTAACTGCTCTTTGGGGTACATTTGGCAAGGTGTGGGGACATTTGGGTTGTCATCAAAGATGGAGGGAGTGGGAGAGGGAGTGAATGCAGGCCAGGTTTTCTGCTGCACACCCTACAATGCACAGTTCCACAACACAACATTATTCAAACTGTCCAGCTCTAACACATGCACAATTACACTAAATGTAAAAGGCCTAGGTACTGCAATGAAAAGAGCAAGATTGTCAACATGAATTGAAGACTGTGATCCAACCACATACTATGGAAAACTCACCTGATTCATACCGATAATAGCAAGGTTGAAGGTAAAAGGATGGAAAGTATTTGTTACGCAAAGAGTAACAAAAAGAAAACAGGAAGGGCTCTATCAGTAACAGATGAAGTAGATTTCAGAGTAGGAAAACAGCATGAGACAGACAGGGACATCACATGATGATGAAAGGTTAAACCCTCCAAGAAGAGACAGCAGTGCTCAATGTGCAGGCACCAGACAGCAGCACTGAAAACATGCAAAGGCAAAGCTGACAGCTAAACACAGGCAAACCCAACAACAGCTGGAGACCTCAACACCACTCTCTCAGCCCAGATGCAACACTTCATTAGACAAAGAACAAGAACACAGAACTCAACACTGTTCTCAACCAACAGTTATGACTGATGGAACAGCAGAATACATATTCTTCCCAAGAACCCTTAGGACGTCCTCCATGTCTTAGCCCATAAGTGAAACCTCAACTACCCACGATGTCTGACCAGAATGGGATGAAGCTAGAAATTAGCAACAGGATAACAGCAAAAGCTCCAGGCTCTTGGAATCCAAACCATGTACCTGTAAATACCTCCCAGGAGAATTTAAAAAATGAACACAAGCCACAGCATGTTGCAATCTGTGAAAGACAGCTACAGCGGCACCAAGAGGGAGATGGATATCTGTTTACATCAGAACAGAGGAAAAGGTCTGAAGTAATCATTCAAACTCCCAAAAAGAAGGGGGAGATGCGCCCAAAGCTGGACGAAGCAAGAAGGAAGAAAAGGAACCAAGAGCAATACAAGTAGAAACGGAGGGGCTGGTGCTGTGGTTCAGCATGCCTGTGGCACCAGCATCCCATACGGATGCCAGCTTGGATCCTGGCTGCTCCATTTCCAATCCGGCTCTTTACTTATGACCCGGGAAAGTGCTGGAGGATGTCCTGAGTGCTTGGGCTCCTGTGCACCCCAGAACACGCTCCTGGTTTCTGGCTTCAGCCTAGCCTAACCCTGGCCATTGCACCCATTTAGGGAAGGAACTAGCAAATGGAAGATTGCTGTCTCTCCCTCTCTCTCTATGTAACACTAACTTCCAAGTAAAAGAAATAAATGTTAAAAAGGAGGAGGAGGGAGAGGAGGAGGATCATTCCACAGGGAGCAAATGGCCGTGACTGACTCAGGTACTGGCAGGGCTGACATGCGTGGCTTGACAGTTACTGTGTTCTGAGCAGTGTATCATGGGAGCTGGTTTCCCTGGAGCCCTCCTGGAGCACAGCTGCACGAACTCTGACATTAGCTCATGGAATCTGATGGAGCCACTGGTGCAGAGGGTGTCTGCTACCAACTCACAGGCTGATGGGGGAGCAGCGGGGAGACTGCTTGTTGACTAGGAGGACCTCAGGCAAGGTCAGGAGGTCTGCCTCACAAACTGAGCAGACCCAGGCAAGGTTACTGCACAGCTGCGCACAGGCCACCCTCTGCCTGGCTCCTGTGGCTTGTGGGCTCAGTGGCTCATGCTGTTCCCGAAACTCCCACTTCTGACCCAGAATGTACTAGACACTTCCGGCCACTGTGGCCCTGCTCAGGAGGGCCTTGGGAGACTTGGTGGCTCAGGTACTTCCAGGCAGGAACACACAGTGGGGGTGGCGGCTGGGGGTTGGGCCAGGGCTAGTACCTGTGTCTGTAGCCCCGCATGACTCTCTGGATGCTCACGGCCGCTCTGTCCAGAGCCTTGCCCCTCTGGATTTCCAGTAGCGTGTCTTGGTGATCCTGGGTAGGGAACAAGGTGTCTTGTAATGACTTCAGCCTCATCTGCAGCCACAATGCCCTGCCCGTCTCCTGGGAGCCCCTCAAGGAGGATATACAGGATAAACACTTCCCTCAATCCACCCTGACGTGGTTCAGAATCAGGAGCTGCTGTAATATCCTCCCACGGACTCCCACGGTACCCACCTGCCGTTGATTTTCCCCACCTTGCCTGATCAGCCCTGGCGGCAGGGATAGGCTCAGGCCTGCCCCCTGCAGGCCAAAGGCAGTTTGTCTTCTAGGATGCAGAGGTGGACAGTCCTTGTCTTTGGCCTCCAGGAGCAGCCAGGACAGGGAGGGACACAGGCACACCCTCTCCTCTCCCCGCTCTTCTACCAACTGCCCACACTGACTGCACGTCCTACCCCTGCTGGCTATGGCATCTAGCAGGACCCCAGAAGCCCCTCTTGGGGAAACCCTGCTGGCCTGGGTCTCCCCTGGGCTCCCTAGATCCAGCCTCACTTTCTCTTCACCTGGGAAAGGGTGGTGCCCAAGGGCGGAGCATGTGCTCAGCAGCTCCATCCGGGAGCAGGGAGTGGATGCCTTGTCTGGCCATCCCTACTCGCTTCAGGTAGGTCAGTCCCCGCCGGCTCTGGAGGACTCACCTTTAAGAAAATCTTGGTCTTTCCCATTTTCCATTCCTTGTCATCTTCCAGATATGCCTCAACGATGCGCAGTGTCATCTGGCGGAACTTGTCCTTTAGCTGCCAAGGACAGACATGATGAGGGCACGCTAAGGGTACACGGGGAGCTCCTCCAGCATCTCCCGGATCCCACCCTCCCGCCGTGGGCCTTGCCATCCAAGGCTCTCATGTCTTTGCGCAAAGTTCAAGGTGCGCCTGGGTCCAGGGATGGGGGAGGAGCGTGCTCAGGGCGTAGGTCTCGGAGGAGACCCGGGGGCCTCCAAGCCAAGTGCGCACTTGGTCCAGGGCTAATCCACACAGGTTGGGAGTCGAGGAGGCAGTGTGGCTGGTGTGTGAAGGGGCCGCGGCTGAAGATGGTGAGGGCGTGACGTAGCATGGTGGGGGCATGGCCAGGGCAGGCGGTGGGGACCCTGACTACGCACCTGCAGGCGCTCAGCGCTGGGCAGCAGCACCCGGAACCTCTGTGAGAACTCCTCGAAGGCGTAGCGAACTGGGAAGCCAGACTTGCGGATACGCACAGTTTCCATCATGCCGGAGTAGCGCAGCTGCTGCAGGCACAGCTCGCGATCGAAAAGCTGGGGACAAGATAGGGTGCACTGACCCGGCTGCCCTCCGCCCAGGGTCCCATTGGGAAGAAGTAGGGCATTTCCAAGACATTTGTGAGGAGGGTCCTGTAAGCTGGCGGGAAGTCCCAGAGTTTGAGGCAGAGAGCAAAGCCGGTGGTGTAGCACGCCCAGCCTGAGGAACGCGTATTCCCATCATCGCCAGTCACGCATGTGTGTGCCCGTCGCTTCCTACCCAGGCTCTATCACAGGTTTCTAAGCACTGCTTGCCTGTACCAAGTATGGTGCTGCCCAGAGAGGGTAGTCTCTCCCACACCACAGGGGAACTTAGAAATAAGGTTCGTTGGGCCAGCACAGTGGTTGGATTGGCTAATTCCCCACCTCCAAGCTCCTGGTCCCGTATGGATGCCAATTTGTGTCTCAGATGCTCCACTTCCCATCCAGTTCCCTATTTTTGGCACGGGAAAGCAGAGGATGGCCTAGATCCTTGGGACCCTGCACACACGCGAGAGACCAGGAAGAAGCTCCTGGCTCCTGGCTTTGGATCAGCTCAGCTCTGGCTGTTTCGGCTATTTGGGGGGTGAACCAGCAGATGGAAGATCTTTCTCTCTGCCTTTCCTCTCTGTAAATCTGCCTTTCCAATAAAAATAAATAAATCTTTTTTTTTTTTTTTTAAAAGAAGGCTCCTGGGTGGCAGAGAACATTCCTGTCCCCTGAGCCCCTCTCTATTCCTGTCCCCTGAGCCCCTCTCTGGCTTGGCTGATTCTAGGTAGCAGAGCTGTTCGGGAGCTGAGCTGGGCCAGCTTGGAGGGCCTGAGGCTGCCCCATGGGGCTTCAGGGCTCAGCAGTGGCCCCTGGAGGCTGAGTCGTGGGTGCCAGCCACGTGGCAACAAGAACTCGGCTGCCATTTACAAAATCTGTGCTGGAACAGCCCCACGTGGCAGGGGGGCATTTGGCTCTGGTTTAAGGACAAGGATCCAAAGGCCCAAGTTCATGCTCCTGCATGGCTAAATTGGGGCTCAACCCTGAGCCCTGCAGCCTGGCACCACACAACATCAGGGTAGCTGCCAGCAGCTAGGGCCACTCCCAGAACTGGAGCCTCCACCTGTACCTGGGGCTCCAGAGGTGTGGGTGTGTCCTGAGGGTCCTAGGGACAGTGAGGACAGTGGCCCAGCCACTAAGCAATAGGCCTGTTGTACTCCAAGGAAAGACACATTTCACAGGATGACCCCAATCTCATCGTGTTTTAGCTTTTTCAGAGGTGCTTCATTTATGAACATTAATTAATTAATCATCTAATAATAATTTACCAATAACTTATTAGTAGCACTTTATTAATAGTACTTTATTATAACGTATTAAGAACACAATTCCGTGTTCTGTCATTCTCAGTTGCTTACAGGATGCTTTTGAGTCACCCATATCTTGTTACTCACAGGGTGGAAATGGAGGTTGGCTCCGGGAGGTGACAAAACTGAATCAGGTTAGGGTTGGGGCATCTTGGATGAAAGGCTGGTGGCAAGGAGAGTCATACAATGGCAGACATGGACAGACACTTCCTGTCTCTTGCTGTATGCCATTGCACGCGGGTCCTTAAGGACCTACCAGCAAGGATGCGTCAGCTGCGGCTGAATCACCCGAGTCAGCTGCATTGTAAACTTCCAGAGAATTGGGCTTTGGGTCTAGCATGGCTCAGCCAGTCAAGTCAGTGGCTGTGACCCCTGCACCCCATATCAGAGCATTGGTTCAAGTCTTGACCACTCTGCTTCCAATCCAGCTTCCTGCTAATGCGCCCGAGAAGGCAGTGGAAGATGGCCCAGGGACTTAGGCTCCTACCACACCACATGGGAGACCTGGATAAAGCTCTGGATTCCTTTGCTATTTGGGAAATGAACCAGAAGATGGAAGATTCTCTCCCTCTCTGCCTTTCAGATAGATTCGTAAATCTTTAAAAAAAGGAAAGGCAACCATGAGCCAAGTGTGCCTCTTTTGCTCATTAGGCTAGCCTGCCTTTGACTTCCTAGCTGCTGTATTTGCAGTTTCTGATGCGATTCTCAGGCTCCTGAGACAAGACTCCCGGGCTCACATGCCTTCGCCACATCCAGCTGGTTGGCACTGGCTGTGTTGCCACAGGTGTCGGGCACCCAGATGTGGTTCCAGCCTCTGAGGTACCAGTGCCGCCTGCTGCTACTGCCAAGCACAGTTCATACCTGGGAGATGTGGTGTGTCACACCCCACCCTTGCTGCACCACTGCAGACAAGAATTATACTTTGGGAGGAGAAAACCAAGACTCTGAGAAGGCTGAAGCCTGGCCCAGCTCGCAGAGAAGGGCTCTGAGGACAACATGCAGGTCAGCGGCTACCTAGCCTCCTCTGTCACATGGGGCACATGATGGCTCTGGGGCTGGCCAAGCCCTGGGGAAGGAAGTGACTCTGCCCGCGATGCCACCAGAATGGTCACCCACCACTGTGTCCCAGTCTCCCCCTGTCCCCTTACCAGAGGCTTCTTGTACTCATTGGGCTTGATGCAGCGGATGAAGTAGGGCTGGCAGCTGGTCAGGATTTTCATCAGCTGGTCCAGGGATTGCTTGAACTGGCCAGCCAGGGTGGAGGGCCTCTTGGTGGAGTCCGTGGACTGTGGGCAAATGCATGGGGCCTGAGTGGGGCTGGAGGCATGGCTGACTCACAGCACAGTAAGGACCCGCTGCAGAGGGCAGCAGCACAAGTCTCCTGCAGGCAGGATCTCGCCTGTGCGCTGGGGTCTTGGGGTATGCAAAGTCAGTCTTCCCTGGCGCCCTTGGGCCAGGACTGAGAAACCCAGGAGACGTGGGCTGGGTGTGTGGCGGGGAGGGTGTGCACCTGGAAGCCCACCTTGAAGGACTGGCTCTTGGGATTTGCCTGTCGGATGGTGCTCTGGCCCCGCTTGGTCTCGGCCGACTCCAGGTTGAAAATCTCCCGGAGGAAATTGTTTTTGGAGGAGTAGACCAGAGTCAGGATGTCTTTGCTCAGTATGTCTCGATTCTTCTCCAGGAAGCCTATGGGGACGGCAGGGCTGGGTCTCTGGCCGAGCTGGCCCATCCCCACCACCTATGGGGACAGTCAGGTCCAGAGGAGGCCCCTCAACCCCCCGCCCCAGCCAGGCATGACTCCCCACCACATGGTTTCTCCCATCTAAATTCTCAACCCTCCAACTCTGCCCATGCTGCAACCTGGTAGCCTAAACTTTGGATATTCTTCTGCCTCTGGGGCCTTGGCTGGGGAGGCCTGAAGACCAGGCCTCTTGCAGTGGGGGAGCGGATTGCTGGGCCATAGCTTCCTCTCCCCATTCCACCCCATTTTTGGAGTTTTGCATCTGATGGCTGTATAACAAAGTCAACAGGGTGGCCTGAAGTCAGTCATAACCAGTATCCTTTCTCTTATTTCTTAAAGATTTTTTTTTAATTTCTTAAATATTTTTAAGTTTTTATTGGAAAGACAGATCAGATTTATGGAGAGAAGGAGAGACAGAGAAAAAGATCTTTCATCTGCTGGTTCACTCCCCAAGTAGCTGCAATGGCCAGAGCTGAGCCAATACATTCCATAGCCAGAAACCAGGAGCTTCTTCTGGCTCTCCCACGCAGGTGCAGAGTCCCAAGGCTTTGGGCCGTCCTCCACTACTTTCCCAGATTGCAAGCAAGGAGCTGGATGGGAAGTGGAGCAGCCAACACATGAACCAGTACCCCTTTGTGATCCCAGCACTTGCAAGTTGAGGATCTATAGTCATTGAGGTATTGGTCCAGGTCCATGGCCAGTGTCTTTGTAAGGAGAGATTAGAACAGTCATGCAGAGGATGCCTCATGGGGACATGGAGAAGAGAGAGCCTGGGAAGGGACCATCCTCGGTCAGAGGAGGTGGAGCACACAACAGGTGCTCAGCATTGACGCATGGGACTAGGATGTGACAAGAACCCAGCAAGAAGCTGCTGGAACGTTAGCACACCTGAAGATTTTGTGTTACTTCGAAGAATACAGGGGCCCAGCGCAATATCCCAGTGGCTAAGATCCTCACTTTGCATCCACTGGGATCCCATAGGGGCACCAGTTCATGCCCCAGATGCTCTACTTCCCATCCAGCTGCCTTGTGGCCTGGGAGAGAAATGAAGGACGACTCAAAGCCTTGGGACCCCGTGCCCACATGGGAGACCTGAAGGAAGTTCGGCCCCTGGCTTTGGATTGGTTCAGCTCCGGCCACTGCAGCTGCTTGGGAGTGAATCAGAGGTTGAAAGATCTTTCTGTATATCTGCTTTTCCAATAAAAATAAATCTTAAAAAAAAAATACAAGTTGGTGTGTATATGTGTGTGTGACCAAGCAATTAAGATGTCCCTGTCCCACCCTGGCTTCCCTGGGTTCAATGCCTGCCTCCGGTTCCTGATTCGGCTTCCTGCTAATGCAAATCCTGAGAGGTGATGGCTCAAGTGATGGGGGCCCTGCCACTCACATGGGAGACATGGATGGAGTTCCTGGCTCCCAGCTCCATCCTTGCAGTCTCAGCCAGTGACGGCATTTGGAAAGTGAACCAGCATATAGGAGCTCCCTGTCCCTCTGCCTCTCAAACAAATCTATTAAATAAAGAACTCAATAAACGATCTTTTAAACATATAAATTGACCTTGAACTATTCTTGGGAGTTAGGGGATGAGCTCAGTGTCTTCTCTGTGTTCAGTGGCCATCCTTCCTCTTTTTTCTTTTCTTAAGATTTTGTTTTTTTTAGTTACTTGAAAGATCAACAGAGAGCAATGGAGAATCTCCCATCTGCTGGTTCACTCCCCAGTTGGCCACAGTAGCTGGTGGCTGAACCAGGCCAAAGCAGCAAGGAGCCTGGAACTCCATCAGGGTTTCCCACATGGGCACACGGTTCTGAGAACTTGAGCCATCCTCTGCTGCTTTCCCAGGCACGTTAGCATGGAGATGGATGAGAAACAGAACAGCCGAGACTTGAATTGCCACTCAGAGTTGGGGGCCCCATGTGCTCGCTCCCCTTGCTGCACCTCAATACCTGCCCTGACCCTGCCTTTCTGAAGAAGTAGGATCTAGCAGGGACTGTGAGGGAGCCACTTTCACGTTCCACTGCTCCTACGGAAATGTTCCCCTAACCGCCCTCAACTGACCTCTCCCCTATCAGCCCTGCTCATCCCTGGGTCCCAGCCTCTGCCTAAACAGACAGCATTCTGTCTCCTTCCTACACTCCAGCCTCAGAGCACTGCCTGGGACAGCAGCCTCCCTGCCCACAGCTATACAACACCTTGCTCCTCCACCTGAACACACCCGTGTGCTGACCACCTTGATTCTTCTAGTGCAGACCACAACAGACTTCACCTCGACAGGGGCAAACAAAACAAAACAAAGCAACCCAAAAAACCCTCAAGAGGGATCAAAGACTTGGACACGAGAGATGAAATGACTCAATTCTTACGATGAAAACACAGGGGCAAGCCTTCACCACCTCGGGTCTGACAGTGTACTCTCGGCCATGACACAAGCAATGAAAGGGAATAGAATGAGTTTAACTTCTCTGAAATGAAAAGCTGCACTTTCAAGGATCCCAGCAGGAATATGAAAAAACAAAACACCAAACAAACAAAACCAGAGCTTGGAATGAAAAAAAAATTACCTAGTAAGGTCCTTGTATCCAGAATACATAAAGAATTCTTATAAGTCAACAACAAAATGACAGCACATTAAAACACAGAAGATGCAGGACCTGGCCTAGCAGGTGAGATGCTGGTCAGGGCACCTGCGACCTTATGGGAGTGCCTGGATTCACGTCCCAGCTCCAGCTCCCGAGTCCAGGCCCCTGCCAGTGTAGACCCTGGGAGGATCAGACGGCATGCTCAGCTCCTGACGCTGGCTCTGTGCTCAGCCCTGGTGGTTGTGGGCGTTTAAGGGGTGAACCAGCAGATGGAAGCACTCTATTTTTCTATCTCTGTGTGTCTCCTCATTTTCAAAATGAAAAGAAAAAATGGGCAAAGGGTTTTGCACAGAAGTTTCTCTGAAGAAGACAAATGACCCAACATGCACATGGTAAGTCCCTCAACAGGCACACTGAATAGCTCAACTGACTAGTCCTCCACCTGCAGGACCAGCACCCCAATGGGTACCACTTCATATCCTGGTTGCTCTGCTTCCCACCCAGATCCGTGCTTGTGCCCACCAGTGAAGGATGGCCCAAAGCCTTAGAACCCTGCACTTGCATGGGAGACCTAGAAGCTCCTGGCTCCTGGCTTTGGATTGGCTTAGCTCTGGCCATTGCGAACATTTGTGGAGTGAACCAACAGATGGAAAATCTTTCTCTCTGTCTCTTCTTCTATTGGTAAAATCTGCCTTTTCCATTAAAAAAATATTTTTAAAAAAGTCCTTCAACATTTTAGTTACCCAGGAAATGCAGCTCAAAATCAGATTGAGGGGCCAGCACAGTAACCTAGTGGCCAAAGTCCTCACCTTGTACATGTTGGGATCCCATATGGGTGCTAGTTCATACCATAGTTGCTCCACTTCCCATCCAGCTCCCTGCCTGTGGCCTGGGAAAGTATTTGAGGACGGCCCAAAGGCTTGGGACCCTGCACCCTCGTGGGAGACCAGGAAGAAGCTCCTGGCTCCTGGCTTCAGATCGGCTCAACACCAGCCATTGTAGCCATTTGGGGAGTGAATCAGTGGACAGAAAATCTTCCTCTCTGTCTTTCTCCTCTCTGTATATCTGACTTTGCAATAAAAATAAATAAATATTTAAAAAATATCAGATTGAAATACAACTTCAAATGTACCAGGAAGTAGCTATAATAATAATAATAATAATAATAATAATAATAAAAGACCAAGAATATGCCTTGTGGGAGTGGAGAGATATTGGAAGTCTTTTATGTTGTTGATGGACATACACCATGATAACACTCTTGACATTGCCCTTGCCCACAAGACCAGGAAGCAGGAACAGGTGTTCACACACCCAGGGGTAGCAGCAGTGTCCCAGTGGCCCAAAGAAGCGGAGCCAGGCTGTCACCCATCCGTGGATGAAGGGATGAACAGAATACGCTGTAACCACACAAGAGCTCAGGATTCCACAAGAAAAAGGAGCTAGGTCTTGACACGTGTGACCACACCTCGAACACTTCATACTGCGGGAAAGGTCCCTGTCGCACAGACCACAATGGACAGGAGGCCCTTGATGTGGACTGTCCAGAAGGAGCAACTCCACAATGATAGAAACTGCTTGGTGCTTAGTGCTCGGGGAGAGTGGAGCGTGACCTCTCAGGGGAGACTCTAGGTCCTAAAACTAGCAGTCATTGGGATAACTGTGATTATTCTAAAAGCCACTGAGTGAACTGCCCACCTGGAACAGGTGCACACTGCGTGAATTGTAAGAAGCGACTTCCACAAAAACAAAAACAAAGGAAGCGACTTCCAAAAGTCCATGGAGAGAAAAATATTGGAATTAAAAGATTTTATTTTGGCCCGGCGGCATGGCCTAGCGGCTAAAGTCCCCACCTTGAACGCGCCCGGGTTCTAATCCCGGCAGCTCCACTTCCCATCCAGCTCCCTGCTTGTGGCCTGGGAAAGCAGTCAAGGACGGCCCAAAGCCTTGGGACCCTGCACCCGTGTGGGAGACCAGGAAGAAGTTCCTGGCTCCTGGCTTTGGATCGGCATAGCATCGGCTGTTGTGCTCACTTGGGGAGTGAATCAGTGGACAGAAGATGTTCCTCTCTGTCTCTCCTCCTCTCTGTATATCTGACTTTCCAATAAATAAATAAATCTTTTTTTAAAAAAAGATTTTATTTAGGTGCAAAACATTTTGAAATCTATGCTTCGGTCAGGGGCTATGTGTCTTTAAAAAGTTCATGGAGAATCCGTGGGCTAAACACTACAGGGCTTTCAAATCATCTGTCTTGCACCAGAATAGATTTAAGTGTTTACATTCCATGTTTCCTGGACCTTTCTCAGGTACCCTTGTAGCTTGCTCAATAAAGTGACTGCCAAAAAGGAAAAATAAAAGGGAAACGGAAACGGCTGTCCCGGTCCACCTGCTCTGGCCAAGGAAAGCTGCCACACGCTGTTCGTTAGCGAGGAACGGCCCCCACCTCTCAGCCTCGTCTGCCTGGTCTCCCCGGTACTGACGCCGGCACGGGGAACGGTGTAGGCAGAGCAGTACTCACCTTCGGCTTGGTAGTACACCTCGCCGGCGAAGTGGGCGATGCCGAACCTGGCGTCGTGGATGTTCTTGGGATGCAGGAAGGCCTTGTTGTTGGCATGGATGCTAGTCAGCTTCTGCAGCATGGTCAGGTCTGTGCCCTGGAACAATCCAGACACCACCCGTGTGTGTGCTGAGGTCCCAGCTGCTCCCTCCCAGTGTGGGGGTGGGGAGCGGGGGGTGTAAGCCCTCTGAGCATGCCCGGAGTGCCTGTGCAGGTGCAGAGCAGGCCCCTCCACCACCACTACCCGCGCGGGCTGGCACCTGCGGGAAGCGGCTCTCTTCATCCAGGAGGGAGATGACACTCATGGGTTTGAGGGCCAGGAGGTCCAGGGTGGGCCTGTTGTCAGTGTAGTGGATGTGGTCCCAGGTGATGTTCTCTATGCGGTATTCCTCCTGCTCCATGGTGAACACGTGCTGCACGAAGAACTGCTGCAAGTGCTCATTGGCCAGGTTGATGCAGAGCTGCTCGAAGCTGCGAAGGCAACGTTATCGCCCGGGGATGGACAGGAGTCAGCCTGGTGCCTGTTATCCTGGAGGGGGCCCTAGAGCCCGCAGCGGTCTGCACACAGCCCCACACCTGTTTACCCACCCGTGCATGCAGCCCAGGTGCACACTGGTGCCCATGCTTCTCCACATGCCTCCTCCCACTCTCTACCCTCCTCTCTGCCTGGCAAGAAAAGCAAAAGCTCAGCCAATGACCAGTTCCCCACCTAGAGCTTCTTATGAGCCCCAGAAGCTCCCCCTACCGACCAGCAGGCCCAGGCCAGCCTCGTGGGGCCTGCTGTGTGTGAACAGCTGCTGTCCATCCTATAGTGCATGGCCTAGGTATGGAGCTTCTGGGAACTCAGGGTGGGGCTGCTGGGCTGCCTCATCCACGCATGATCCCTGCCCCTGCAGCCCCTATCTCCAGCCCTCCAACCTGGACCTCCTCTTGGCCTTCTGCCTTGGATATGACTCAGGTCGGAAGCCAAGGGGCCGGGCTTGTCGCCATCCCTCCTCCCCAGGCCAAAGCTGGCCTGACGCAGTCTCTACCTCAGCACCCCCAGCTACTGGTTGCTTTTCACTTTGCCTCCAACCCAGGCTGCCTGAGCCCACTGAGACTCCGGCCTCGCCTTTCATGTCATCCCCCACATCACCCCTAGAGGGAGCATCCTGCTGTGCAAATTTGATTTCCATTCATCAGGGCTGCAAGACCCAACCCCACTCCCCTCCTGAACTTGACCTCCTGATCTTGATCTTGCAGCAATCTCCCTCCACCTACCCACCTTCCTTCTGTCTTTGCTCAGCTCTGGCTGTTCCGGACTCTCCGTGGAGCTCTGAGCACTACTGGCTCCTCCTGCCTTCCAGACACCTTTCCTTGGTTCTGATCACACTCAGGTCTCTCTTGGGCACTCCTTCTGATGGACCAAAGTCCTCTGTGCTCTCCCTGCCCAGGTCACAGACCCAGCGAGGGTCACCTCCAGCACCTTGCATACTTTCTGCCAGCACCAGCCCCCACTCAAGCCCAGTTGGAGGTGACAACCAGGTCCCTGGGAACCAACCCCCATCCAGCTCCCAAGTGTCCATAAGTGTGTTTCTCTTGCCCAGCTGTCTCTTGTTAGTATCTACGGATCACAAGGCTGCGTGTGTCCACTGGGCCTTAGAACTCTCCAGGACACTGGGCTGTGTTCTGCCTGCCCTACCCCAGCCCTACTGATGAGCAGCGGGAGCTGGCCCTGGGAGGTTGAGAGGCTAACAACACACATGTTTATGTAAGGAATGGCTGAGTTTCCACCATGCTGGCTCTCCAACAGGGCCTTCTTAACCCCCTCCTAGGGCACACTGCACCTGACCAGATTTTGGGTAGGGGCCACCCCAAGGTGGGGCCAGCCCCTTGGCCCGCCCTCACAGTACCTTGAGGTCGTTGCTTCCTGGACCCCAGTGTGCTCAAGTTGTGTCCCCATCAAGACCTTTGGGTGAGTAGGATTGCATGAAAACATTTCCTGTTGTCATGGCTCTGACCCTCACTTCCTCCTTAGGGGTTTGCCACCTAGAGACTACCTGTTATCCACCTTGTCCACACCTCCACTCCCCAGCTGTCATCACAGCCACATCTGGCAGCTGTTTGGGACTTGCCTCGTGGATCCAGATCTTCAGTTTTCTGTCCAGCGTGCTAGAATCTGGAGTCAGAGCTGCACCTGCTCACCGTACCCCACAACCCCCAACCGGCTCTCCTTATCGCCTATGACAGCTCCTGCACAAAGCAACAGCTGCTGAATCCACAGTCACTCTGACCCCCTGTGACAACTCACTGTGGCTCAAGAGGGGTGACACGTTCTGGGATCTCAATCTCTTGGGGAGCCTCCCGGCCTTTTGTAGGTGCTCCGGCACACGGGCATCTCACAGAGACCTGGACCTGCTCACAGGTCTCCCCTGGCATGCCGCTTCCAGCCCCCAGGGCAGCTACCCTCCAGCTTGCTCCGTCACCTTTCGCACTAGGAGAACAAGTGGACGGATGCTCTCCTACCTATTGCTTTGGAAGTTTTCAAAGCCGAATATGTCCAGCAGGCCGATGGATCTCCGGACATGCTTGGGGTCTTGGGAGGGAGGTGGGTAGATGGCGGTGTTGATCTTCTTGACAACCCACAGGAAGAGGTGCCCGTAGATGGCCTGTGTGGGGAGGACACGGGGGAGGCCCCCAGGCTTTGAGGTTCACCTGGCCACAGAGGCTAGGAAGCCATTGGGGTCAGGACCTGCGAGTGATCTCACCCAGGGAGCAGGAAGTGGGGCTGCGGCAGATGCGTACCTTGGCGAAGGCATCCCTGCGGTCTGCCGCCTGGGCGATGTTCAAGGGCCTGGAGACGTACTCTCCCCGGATGAGGATGGTGTGCTTGATCAGGCACTCCCGGAGCGCCTGGTGCTGTACCTGGGAAGGCAGGTGTGGCTGCATCCTGCCTGCTTCTGCTCAGTCCTCTATAGTGCCCAAAGCCCTGGACCAGAGGGTGGACCGGGTGCCAAGGCTAGGGTCCTGGAAGTGCTGAGGTACAGGGGTGGGGTATGGGAAGGAGGACTCTGAGTGTGCAGGTCTCCTGGGCCAGGCTTCACCCCATCACACGAGGAAATGGAGCTGGAAGCACTCCTGAGGTGTCTGAGGACCTGCTTGAATGTGCCCACCAAATTCACCTGGTGATGCTTTAGGTGGTAGAACCTTGGGTGAGGAGGGGATTAGGATAGGATGAAATCTGGAAGGTGGGCCTTGTGGTGGGATTGGCAGTTTTGTTTTTTTTTTTTAAAAGAAGCTCAGTCTCCCCACAGGGCGCCTTCTGTCAGGCCAAGACACAGCCAACAGATCCTCACTAGATGCTGGCATCCAATACTCACACCTCCCAGCCCCCAGAACTATGAGCCACCAAAGCCCACTCTGTGCACATGACTGGATTTGGGGTTTGTGTCTCAGCAGCCGAAAGGAGACTAAGACAGGGCCTTTGACCTTAACGAAGAACAGCGACAGCAAAATGGGCAATGTTCCCCGAACGGAAGTGAGTCCCTGTCCAGGACCAGCTGCCCTGCCTCCATGGGAGCTGGGATCTGAGCTACTGACCACAGCACTTACCATTTCTCAGAACAGCACAACTCACAGGGGTTGCCAGAGGACAAGGGCTCAGGGTGGGGTCACCCTCTCGGGCTTTGGGTGAGTGCCCAGGTTGGGAGGTTAGGGATGAACATGTGTAGCATGAGGGTGCTGAGTACAGGAAGACCCAGAACACACAGCCCTGCTGCCTCATTCCCCTGTGGTCCAGCCCCACTTCCTGCTCCCTGGGTGAGTGTCTGCTGGGCACATTAGGACACAGGGTCCAGCTCAGAGCCAGGCATTGGGGGTAGACTGTCCTTCCAGCATGGGTCCCCAGGACCCGCTTTACCTCCAGTAACTTCATCACCATGGGAAAGCCAGGTGTGTCCATCACATCAGAGGAATCCAAGTTCTCGAACACCGCGGCTACAGAGAAAATCAGCAGTCAGTGTGGGAAAAGAGGCTGGAGTGATGGGAACCAAGAGTCCCAGGACGGCCTGGGCCTGTGGCAGCTGCACCCACCCCCCCATGTCTGTCTCTCCCAGGGTCCTCTCTCAGGGGTGGCTGATGTCCCTACTGTCCACCAGTCACAGGCATGTTGGTTGTGAGTGACTGTCACAGACCACCGTCCCCTCTGTCTACCAAGGGCTTCTTAGGAGGGTCCTCCCTCTGGTTCTCTTTCCCTGTGCTCAGGGCAACCACCCTCCCAACATCTGTGGCAATCACGTTCTGCACTTGCCCTTCCTCCTCATTTCCAACCTGGATTTTCTCTCAACTGAACTCCACCTGTTGAGAAACACTGCCTGAGTGTGAGCACGCCACCAGCCGTCGTCTGCCAGCTTCCGTCCTTCCATGCCGGGTGTCCAGCACTCTTGGGTGCTGTGATACCTGGAACGTCTGGCACCTGCCTTCCCCTGGTGAAAGTGCCGGGTGTGGCTAATGGACAGGTCACCCCAGCTGTGGCTGCTGGCTTGCAGACACCCCTTCACTCCTGAAGCTTATGCGGAGTCCGTCCGCTCCCATCTGTGCTGTGACTTGGTTCATGAATCAGTCAAGAGCTCATTGAAGAGTGCTTCTGACTCACTCTCCTTCTCGCTCCCCTTGGGACTCCACTCGCAGTCTGTTGCCCCTTCTCATTGCACTCTGGGTATCTCCAAGCTGAGCTCACAGTTTCTCCCGACATTTTTCCCCCTTAACGCTTTTGAAGTTGACTGCTACACCCACTCATTGACATCTTGATTTGGGTTTTTCTTTTTAGTCTTTGAATGTCTATGTGGTTCCCTTGTGACACGGACCACTACTTTTCCTAGTCTCCAGGTCCGTGTCTATGACACGTTCAAGCATGGCTTTTTCTTTCTTTGCACACAGCAGGCAGAGCTGCTCTGTTGCCTGGGTCTAACAATCTCCACATCTGACATCTTTGTGTTACCTATTTCTATTGTTTGTTATTTCTGCAGGTTCTGGATCACGGTGTCTGGTTTTCTTGTTCCTGTTTATTTCTAGCGGCATGGTGCATATTGTATTTGTAAAATTGCTGAAGGAATCATCTGCAATCTGGGTCGCTGGCATTTTCTTCCCAAAATTTCCAGTGACTTGTTGGGTGCTTAGAGTGCTGATGAGTCTGGTACCTTATTCCCCAGGGCAACTTTAGGTTTACACACTAGTTTGCAAGTTCATGCATGGGCTTGGTTACTGGGACTGGGTCCTGGCTAAAAGTAATGGGTGTATTGGCTGGGGTTTCCACTTTTGGGGGATCCTAAACTTAGGCATCTTCCTCATAACCCCATGAGGTCTCCAAACGCAAATATCTTCAGAAGTATTTCCAGAACCAGGCTGGACCAAACGACTTTGGGGGTCCTGCCTGCGGTGACAGCCCCCAGAGACTTCCTCCTCCTCCTCCTCTCTCAGCACCCCTGCTGCCTCCCTGGGGGTGCAGCCTGGGCAGAAGCAGCATTACCCATGAACTCCACGTTCCCCAGATGGAGAATGGCCGCCAGCAGCTTGCTCAGGTCCCAGTTCTCAGAGTCAGAGAACAGGAGGATCTTCATGGCAGAGCGGACATGGGCGTAGTCCTTGGCATCATCCAGCCCTTCGCAGGAGGTGCAGTTGCCCTGTAGGACAGGTGGTCACTTATGCCCCACCTCTCCCATCCTGGAGCCAGCTCACACAGCACAGACCCATGAGGAAGACCAAGCTCACAAGACACCTAAAGGAACTTGGAGAGGTACAACCACAGATGCAGCATGGCTGGGCATTGTCCCTAGTGCTGGCACTCAACCGCTGTCTGGCCTCTCTGAGCCCCCGCCAGGCACCCGTTACCAAACCTGCCTCACTTGTGGGGAATGCTGAGGGCTCGTGGTTAGATGAACACTTTCCTAGTGCTTCTTTCTGGGAATTCAGGAAAGAGCAAGCCTATTGCTGAGCACATAGGAGGGGCGGACAGGGAGCTCCTGAGCACCCTTATAGGTGTGAGGGCAAATGACCAGGGCTGACCTCAATGGGACCAGGCGTGAGAGGGGCCTCCTGGAGGAGGGCCATGCTTCAGAGCAGCAGGGCCAATGGGAAGAGGCCTGCTGGGAGGCTGGGGTGGGAGTGCACGGTGGAAAGATGGCTCAGAATCAGATCTGCTAGAGACTAGTATGTCATGCCTAGGGACTTGGCCCTACACCAGAGACAATGGCCATGGGCAGTGTGATACTCTTAGATTCCCGCTGTCACTGCCTCAGGAGGATGCAAGATCGAAGGCCAAGTTTGTCTGGTGACAGGGGACCCCTGAGAGGAGGAGAGGATGGGACAGTGTCCACAGGACAGAGGCTCATGTGGGAGAGATGGCTGAGAGCTAGGGAACAGGAAGGAAGGCCGCTTGTGTTGTGCTGCCCATGGGTTCAGGAGACAGCAGTTCCCCTGGGCTGGAGGGAAGTGAGGCTGGGGATGGAGCAGACCACAGAGTGTTTTCTAGCAGGGGCTTGCAGGAGATGGGGAGGGAAGGGACCCGACTGAGAAAGACACGGATCTGGCTTACCATGGTCAGGTAGTGGTACTCAGAGGGCGTCCCCAGGCCCAGCAGATGCTTCTCCTCGGCGCCCATGCCCATCAGCATGGAGTAGAAGATGTGGTAATTCCGTTCTTCTGCAGCCTGTAAGTGGGAGGTGGTTCCCAAGGGGCTCCCGTTGTCTGCCATCTAGCCACCTGTCCAAGCTTTCCCATCCAGGGGCGGCTCAGGCACAAACCTCAGGGCCAGCCGGACCTATGTCCCACAGCCCCTGCTTCTCAGTCTGCTTTGGTATCTCTGAAGCTGCCGTGACCTGAAGCCACACCCACAGCCTGGGAGTTGGGGTGAGGCAGTCACAAAATGATCACCCCAGCACAGGGCTCTCTGAGCATAGGGCCCCGAGAGAAAGCAGGGACCACAGGGCATGGTAGTTCCTGGCCACTGGCCTTCTGGACACTGGTCATACAGGTGACCCCGCTGTGGCACTGTGGAGACATTTTGCCATCAGGTGGGGACTGACCCAGCCTGAGTTAATTTTAGGGGAGGTGATGGGCACTAATGCAGGAAGAAAACTGATGAATGGAGCTGATATGGTGGTACAGCAAGTGAAGCCACAGCTCAGGATGTGGGCATCTCATATTAGAATCCCGGTTCAAGTCCCAGCTGCTCCACTTCCCATTTAGTGCCTGCTTATACACCCGGAGAGAGCAGCACAGGATGGGCCAAGTGCTTGGGCCCCTGTCATCTCTGTGGAGACCAAGAGGGAGTTCCAGGCTCATGACAGCCATTTGAGACAAGATTGTCTTCTCAAGTAAATAGATCGAATCTTTGGGGGAAAAAAAATGTATTGATGAAACATTGAAAATGGAGGAGACCCTATTGTTTTGCAGAGAGCTGGGTATGCCCCTGGGAGGTGGTTTCTCTTGGAAGCCCTGACCACATACCACAGGCATGTGAGTTGGGGCTCACCTGGCGGCAGACCCGAGACTTCTCCAAGAGGAACTGCTCGATGCGTGCCCCCTCGATGACCCCACTGGCGTTGAAATAGATGTCGATGTACTTCCCAAAGCGGCTCGAGTTGTCATTGCGGATGGTCTTGGCGTTGCCAAAGGCTGAGGACAGCCGGGCAGTGGCAATGGTAGGAGCCAAGAGGAAAGAAGAGAGAAAATGAACTCTCAGTGCAGTCATCTGGGAGGGCTTCTCAGAGGAGGTGGTCAGAACCTGGGTAGGGCTGCATTCTGGGATAGCAGTGGTGGCAGCTGCTGTATTGTGAACGTGCGCCCCCCCGCCCAACTAAATTCACATGCTAGAAAACCAGTCCCCCAAAACCTGAAGTGGTGCATATGTGTGTGCAAGGACTGGGGGAGGGACCGTGGTGGGGTGGGGACTGGAGCCATCTGCCCTCAGACCAGCAGGTGCTCTGGCTGTCATAGGAGCGTGCTGGGGAGAGAAGCAGAGCAGAGCGTGGGCTCCAGAACTGTGAGTGCAGTGAGAACCTTTTCTTTCTAGGTTGTCTGGGTCTCCAGGTGCTTTGTTACAGCTTCAGGCAGGGAGCTAGAACAGCTGCCGAGGGCATCCAGAGGAAGGTTGAGCGCAGGCAGACACCCAGCGGTTAGGACCATGAGACATCCGGCCCTAGGTTGGGACCATGGGAGGAGAGTAGGAGGAGGTTGCAGTTGCAGAGCCTCGGGAGCCAGGCCTGGAAGCTTTGCCTTTCAGAAAGAAGAGCCAGAGGCTGGAAGGAAGCAGAAGCGGTGAGTCTGCCGGCACAGGGCAAGAGCCGGCCCAGGCTTGGGTTCAGAGGACGCATTCAGATCAGGAGGTGTTTTGGGGACCAGTGTGATCCCCAGTGTGCTCCAAAGAGCTGTGGCTGCAAGTGTTCATGTGGTGATCTGTGGCAGGAGAACTCCCACCCAGGACAAACTGTTGTGCAAATGTTAAGGCCAAAGTCTACCCAAGACATCGGGTAAAGAGAGCCAGGAGGTGTATGATCTCTGATCTATGGTTGTATAGGCTGTCACAGGCCAGGGACAAGAATTTCTGCCAGGGAAAGTCCAAACTGGAGCTCCCTAGGGCAGCCCGTAAGATGCAGGGGCCACCTGCTTGGCCCATGGCCTCTACTAGATAACCTGACTGCAGCCATGCCCCAGGACCTTGGAATTGTCACTGTCTTGTTGGAAACAACTGTCCTGCATGAGTGTCTGTTCCAAGCTGCCTCTGGCCTTAATCTTGTGTGTGCTTGTGGTCCCTCAGAGCCTGCACACCCTAGGGGTATAACCCCTTCCCAGTTCAACTCTTACTCCTTCCAGGGTCTCAGTTGTTCAGCTCAACCATACAGGACACAGGTGCACACATAAACTGCTAGGATTGGACTGACTGCAACGAAGGGGGGCTGTTTTCAGCTGTTTTCACTCCTTCCCACAGACCGATATTATGGCCCAGCGTGAGTGGGACGCAGTTTGGAAACATCATTAAAGAAAATGATACCGAACCAAACTCGATCAAAATGTTAAACCTCTGTCCTGCTTGTATAAGACACTGTGAAGAGAGAGAAGACACGGGCTGCAATCTAGGATGAAATATTTGCAAGGACACAGATCTTGTGAATGCTGGAGTAATGCCCGGCTCCAGCTTTCCACCACAGCTTCCTGCTAACACAGAGCTCCGGGGGCCAGTGGTGATGGCTCAGGCAAGTGTCTGCTGCCCAGATGGGAGGCCTGCAATGCTTTCCCAGCTCCTGGCTTTGGTGAAGGGTCTAGACCTGGTCCTTGCAGGCCCTCTGGGGAGTGACCCAGCTGGTAGGAGCTTGCCCGCTCAGTCTATCTGACTCTCCAATACATGCAATTTTAATAAGGAGGTGGAAGGTTGAGACAGATACTTCACCAGAGATGAACACAGAACAGAAGTAAGTTCATGAAAAGTCACTCATGAAGAAAATGGGAGTGACCCCCCATGACGAGGTGAGTGGCTGCCGGGGCTGGGCTGGGGAAGAAGGGACCACTACAAAGGAGCGTGTAGAGGTTTAGGGGTGATGGGAGGGTTTTATGATCACATAACAAGCTTGTCGAAATTCGCCCAATTGTGGGTTGTGGGAAAAGGGATGTGCAAGCCAAGCCTCAGCCTGGGAGGCCAGAAAAGAATGCAAGGGGAGGGCATAGGACGACAGAGGGCAAGACGCCATGCAGACCTGATGAGGTCTGCGCCAAGCTACCGTGGAGCTCTTTCAGGTTGTATCATGGGGAACTTAACTTTGGGCCCCCAGGCTTGGTCTCTGGGGTGGTCCCAAAGCCTGGTGACCTAGCCCAAGGCTGTCAGTCATTGAACAATACAGCTTATCCTGTTGATATATGGTTGAGGGCTGCTGGGACTGGCACTGTGGCACAGTGAGTAAGGCCGCCGCCTAGGGTGACCACATGCCTTTTCAGGGCCCTGGTTTGAGTTCTGGCTGCTCCACTTCCGATTCAGCTCCCTGTCAACGTGTATGGGGAAGCAGTGGAGAATGGCCCCTGCCTGCTTGGGCCCCTGCCACTCATGTGAGAGACCCAGCAGAAGTTCCTGGCTCCCGGCTTCAGAGCAGCCCCGCATTGGCTATTATGGTCATTTGGGGAATGAACCAGCAGATGGAAGACCTCTCTCTGTCTCTCCTTTTCTCTTTAGTGATACCTTTCAAATAAAATGTTTTTTGAAAAGGAATATTACCCATAGTCCAGTGGAACGGATATGTAATATCAGCTTCTGAATTCATCAGGACTTCTCCTTTGGGTACCATGAGGCACCTGCTGTGGTCCATCCCATCCCATCCATCCCCATGAATGCTTCCGACAGGAAGTTCCCATCCGAGGAACCGAGGATGATGAGGGTGACCACTCACTCACCTTCCAGGATTGGGTTGGCCTCCAGGACTTGCTGCTCGATCCACGAATGCTGGCCGCTTACGGTGGCCAGAAACTGCAGGATGAGTTTGGTGGTCTCAGTCTTCCCAGCCCCAGACTCGCCACTATCAAGATGTGGGCAGGATGTGAGATCGCAGAACAATACCCACCCCCAACTTCCTCCAGGCCCCTGCCAATGCCCACCAGGCTTGCTCTCTGGCCTTGGTTTCAGAGGCGCCTATTCCCCAGGCTGGGATGGCTGTGTATTTGCACAGAGTTTCCCCTGCAGGGCCACCCCTGTCTTACAAGGCATTGGTGGTGCTTATCCGCAGCTATGGGCTGCTCTGCCGGACAGAACCGGCTCTTTCCATGCACAGTGCCTGGCGAATTACAAGCAGATCTCAGAAAGTCTATAGGAAATGGAATTCAAAGATCAGCTTACGAGCCAGTGGGCTAATTCTCCCCCTTGCAAGTACAAAGAGAAAGATCTTTCATCCACTGGCTTACTCCCCAAATGGTTGCAACAACCAAAGCTGAGCTCATCCAAAGGCAGGAGCCAGGAACTTCTTCTGGAGCTTCCATGTGTGTGGCAGTGTCCAAATACTTGAGCCATCCTATGCTGCTTTCCCAGGCCAGGGGCAAAAAGTTGGGTGGGAAGTGGAGCAGCCAGGACATGAATTGGCGCCCATATGGGATGCTGATACTATAGGCAGCGGTTTAGCATACTACACCACCACACCAACCCCCTGAGATTATTTTTTTCTGAGACCTCACCCCAACTTGACCTCTATTCCCTGGAGTGCATGACCAGTGCCCCACAGTTAAAGAAGTTGTCTCCATCCTTCCTCCCTGCACTCAGGAGACATTTACTGGAGCCCAGGCCATTCGGTGACAACTCAGGTTGTGAAGCAGAAAAGCATCTGAGGGATTGTCATTGGGGGTGCAGCCGCAGCAGTTATCAAGCCTGAGTAGCTCCAAGAGCATTGGGAAGGGTACTCCAGAGGAGTAAGGAGGCCCCTAAAGGGCCAGTATTGTGGTGTAGCAGATAGGGTCACTGCCTGCCATGTCACATCTCATGTGGGTCATGTCCAGGGTGCTCTACTTCTGATCCAGCTCCCCGCTAATGCGCCTGTGAAAGCAGATGAGGATGACCCAAGTGTTTGGGCCCCTGCACACACATGGGAGACCTGAATCCTAGCTTTGCCTGGTCCAGCACTGGCCCTTGTGGACACTGGGAGCGTGAACCTGCAGACAGAAGATCTCTCTCTCTTGCTCTCGCTGTCTTTAAACGAAGAAGGGAGGGCCCTAAGTGACAAGGACCTGTCAGGTGCGCTGGTCTGGAGAGGTTTCAGGGGTGGAACCCAAGGCTGGTGTGTGTGTGTGTGTGTGTGGCGGGGTGAGCCCACCTGATGACGCAGCCCTGGTCCTGCTTATTCTTCTTCATGTTGAAGTAGCAGCTGTTGGCAATGGCAAAGATGTGAGGGGGCAGCTCGCCCACATGGCGGTTGTAGTACAGCTGCACTTGCTCCAGGGTGTACAGGGGAAGCACCTGGAATGGGTTCACGGCCACTAGGATAGAGCCTGTGTAGGTCTGGGAAAAGAAATGGAGGAGGTTAGTGCTGGCTGCCCCACCCTGTCCTGTCCTGCGCTGCCCTGCCTGGTCCTCAGGAGAAGAGACGGGCTCTGATCCTGGGCCTGGGAGATGCTGAGCTCTTTGGGGAAGACAGGGCATTCAGCAGGAGTGCGGATCCCCAGAATCCAAGCCGTGTGCTTCTGCTTGCTGGAGACCCATCAGTCAGTATCCGGTCAGCATCAGTTCCAGGAGCTCCGCCCACACGGGAGGGAGTCCCGCCCAGGGACCGTCGGTTTCTCCCTCGCAGCCCGCCCCTTTGTTTAGGATTACCCCTCCTCCCCCACCTCACCCCACAACTTGAGTTGATTATCCAGGCTGACCAGACAATTGGCCGGGGCAGGCAGGGACTCCTCCCCACTTCCCCCCAGGCCACACCTGCTTGGGGTCAGAGTGCTGTGGGGCCGGATAGGGGGAGGAGGGCCCTCTTGTCAGTGGATGGGGAAGTGTTCTATCTGGTAGCTCTGTCCCTACAACGTGCCCAGGAAGGGGCAGGCTGTCCCTATGGGTGGCCTCTCGTGTCCACTCTGCCCTGCTGCTCAGCCACTCCTTGTGAGAAGAGACCTCACGCAGAGCACCTACTGCAGGCACATGGGGCTAGGGGGGCAGAGACTGTGAAAGGCCTGGGGATGGGGCCTGGGATTGGACGTGTCTGCGGCGGAGCTGATTCCAGACTCTTGACACTCACATATATCTTGTGCTGCTGGTAGCGGATGAGCAGGTTGTGCACCATGCCTGCCTCGTTGAGGTCTCCCAAGCGGATCATGTCCTCCACACCCTCGACGGAGCTGGGGTGCATGGGGCTGAGGACCCCAAGCTCCTCCATTCGGATCCAGTGCTCCTGGAACGACAAGGGCAGGCAGGCGCCCTTGAGGGACGGCTTACAAAGGGGTCACCCTCTCCCTCAAGTTTTCAGCAGCAACAGAGATTGCGGGGCCACATGTCAGTTGGCCTGGGGCTGATCCTGCCCGATTCAGCCTGTGGCTAGGACTAAGGGACACCTGTGGCAGGTCAGTGCTCAGTGGAGGGGCTTATATCCAGAAGTCAGGTTTAGGACCTCGTAGGTGGTTCAAATACAAATATGTCAGTTAAAATGAATGCAAATAACAGATATGGTGATGATTTTATTGGCTTCCAGAAGTGGCAATGCCAGATCACAGTCTAGAACCTTCTCCACAGAGGCCAAGTCTGCACATGCCTTGTCTTGTAGCTCCTGGCTGGGAAGGAAAGGAGGGCTGTCAGAGGAGGACTTAAGTGACTCCCTGGACACCAGCTGCTCCAACAGCCCTCTCCCACCCTGGGCTCACCTTGCTTACCCAATGAATGGGCATGCCGTGCTAGTGTTCTTGAGCTGCCACCTCTCATCTGCATGGTTCCACCTCTCCAAACACCTCTCTCACCCCTCTCCCCTCACCTCCTTTGCACACCAGCCTTCTGCCTTCTCACTCCTCTTCCTTCCTGTTTGCCTGGTCCTGGTCTCCCATGGCCCCAAGCATACCTCAGAATGTACATGCAATGCCCACCATGACTAGATTCCACCACAGAGACCGCCTACCCCTACCCTGGCCCAGCAGCCCCAGAGAAGGGCAGGAGGTAGGAGAAGGGGACAGGGGTAAGGTTCAAGGGGTGCATAACACTGACCTTGCCCTCGTCATCTTCAACCAGAAGCTTGCCTGGCTTAGTCTCTTTGATGACGCCGCCGATGGCCACGCCGACCTTGTTGGTGGAGGGTGAATCCAGCCACACATGGTCACCCTGGAGGACAGAGACAGGACAATGGTCTCCCAGGGCTCCCGGCCCTGAGCAAGGCCCGGAGTCCATGGAGGGAAGTTAAGTCCAAGGTGACACTGATGGGCACCTGCAGGTGACAGGTGAGCCCAGGCATGGCGCATGTCACCCCACCTGAGGGCAGTTTCATCCTAAAGATGAAATTCACATTACTCCTAACCACTGGGAACTTTGGAAGGGAGGAAGCTGCAGGTTCAAGCAGTGACACATGTAAGCAACATCAGTAAACCAGGGCAAAGGGCAGTTCCAAAGTCAGCAAAGGAAGACACGGGGATGAGTGTACCGCACTCTTATCAGCTACACCCTACCTGTGGCCCTGAGCAAAAGCAGGATGTAGGGGCCGGCGCTAGATGGGTTTAGCCACTGTGTGTGGTACTGGCATCCCATGTGGGTGCTGGTTCAAGTCCCAGCTGCTCCATTTCCCATCCAGCTCCCCGTGAGTGCTCTTGGAAAAGTAATGGAAGATGGCCCAATTGCTTGGGCCCCTGCACCCACATGGGGGATTTGGAACAAGCTCCTGGTTCCTAGCTTCAGCGTGGCCCAGCCCCAGATGTTTTGGTTATGTGGAGAGTGAACCAACAGATGGAAGATCTCTCTCTGTATCTCTGCTTTTCAAATAGATCTTTTTAACATCTTGGTAGGATGAAAGAACAGATACCAACAGAGGGAGTACTGGGGTTGGGCTGGGGATAAATCCTTTAACAATTAGCAAGGAGCTGATGTCAGATAATGCCTCAAAGTAAAACAGGAGGGTTTTTTTTTGTTTTTTTGTTTTGTTTTGTTTTGTTTTTTAAGAGATGAGTTTTTAGAGACACACAAGGAAACAGCAAAGGAATCCACTAGAAGTGCTAACAGGTGTCACCTCTAGGGAAGTGGGACCTGATGATTTGAATCATGCGTCTGTGCAACTTACTAAAAGTGAAGGCAGAAAGCAGAGCAAGGCACAGCTGCTACAAGATGCAGTGTACAGAGCAGGAGCGCACGAGGACCCTCAGACACACAGCAGCTCCGGGACCAGGGTGAGAACTGGTGACGACTTAGCGGACTGTGCTGACAGCTGGCTGAACACCAAAGCAAAATAACGAGTCAAAGGCAGGTGGGGAGCATCAGCCAGTGGTAGGAGGAAGAGAAAGAGAAAGAGAGAGAGAGAGAGAGAGAGAGAGAGAGAGAGAGAGAGAGAGAGAATTTCCAGATTGATTGAGGAAGGCTTAGTCCAGCAGCAGCCAGAAGAGTTAAATCAAAGGGCTCGTGGAGTGGGATGTATCAATGGATGGTCCTACCAGCTGTGCTACTGGATCTGCCCCCAGATCAACTGAGCTCATGATTGCATTGCCATGAACTTTTCGAAGTGGTAGAAAAAGGTAACTGCAAAGCCAGCTGAATCATGGAGAGCAGGAGGAAGACAAGACACGAAGGCTGTTTCAGGCTTGCAGAAAGGGCAAGTCTGCGTAGAGCTGGGAGGGCCAAAGGGCATAGAGCCCTTGAGCCCCGTGGGCCTGGGTGACAAGGAATTCCTGATGCTGGAGAGAAGGTAGTGGGAGTCACAAACTGCTAACTACCCGGAAATCCAAACACGGGACAGAGTCAGCTCTCCACTCTCTGGCCCTGCCCCCAGGTGCTGTCACACTAGTGCCTACTGGTGGGTAGCTCTGGGATCCGCATGGCCATGACCTTCTCTCCTCTCACTTAGGGCTAAATGGTGGCCCTGTGCTTGCAGCAGACATAAGAAATCCCCAGCCATGGTGTCTGGGGTCTGAACCCCAGGTCAGGTCCATCGTGTGACCACAGCAGGCATCCCCCATGTGCTGGCATAGAAACCGAGGGCCCCTGGCCTTCCTGGGTGCCTGACCGTTGGACTGTCTCATAAACTGGTGAGAGATGGATTGTTATTGGAACATACAAAGTCTAGGCCTACAGGTCATATAATGTGTACTATATTCTACACGGTTATCTGTTTCTATGACAACCAGGCAGGCCCTTGTGGCTCATAGATTATCTGCTGGGTAGTTACTTTATTAGGGCTACCATTATTGAAACTCCTAAAAACCCAGATTAGAAACCATTTGTGGGAGCTGGTATGATGGCTCAATTGGCAAATCCTTTACCTGCCATGCCACCATCGTGCATGGGTGCCACTTTGTATCCCAGCTGCTCCGTTTCCCATCCAGCTCCCTGCTTGTGGCCTGGGAAAACAGTGGAGGACGGTTGAAAGCCTTGAGCTCCTGCACCCATGCGGGAGACTTGGAAGAGATTCCTGGCTCCTGGTTTTGCATTAGCTCAGCTCTGGCTGTTGCAGCTGCTTGGGGGGTGAACCAGCAGATGGAATATCTTTCTTTGTAAATCTGCTTTTCTAATAAAAATAAATAAATCTTAAAAAAAAAATTTGTGGTGCTGTAGCTCTGCTTGCTGCTGCTGTGCTGACTAAATGAATGGTGATCCATCCACCTACAGAATGAGCCACACGTGTAGCTTTAGAATCTTTTGGCAGTCACATTTCAGAAGTAAACAGGATTTAATGACATCAACCTTATGAGTGATATTTAGCCCGATATACTATTACCCCAAATACTATTGCTTTAACAAGTAATCCCAGGCTGGAGTTATGACGCAGTGGGTAAAACTGCCATCTGTGGCATAGTAGGTTAAGACTCTGCCTGGACATCAGTATCCTTTCTATATGCGGGCTAGTTTAAGACTCAGCTGCTACACTTTCAATCCAGCTCCCTGCTAATGTACCTGGAACAGGCAATAGAAGATGCCTAAAGTGCTTGGGCCCCTGCACTTTCATGGGAGACCTAGAAGATGGTCAAGGTTCCTGGGTTTGGATTGGCCCAACCTTGGCCATTGCAGCCATTGTGTGGAGGGAGACCAACAGATGGAAGACCTCTCTCTCTCTGTGTAATTGTGCCTTTCAAATAAATAAAATGAATTTTTTAAGAGACAGAGTCTATCCTTCACTCTCTGACTTCCTTGCTTCTGTCCCCACACATCAGAAAGACCCACATGACAGACATGTGCCAGCCAGGAAGACAGGTGCCAGTCCCGACCTTGTAACCAAGAGTGTGGACATGAGCCAAAGGGAAGCCAGATGGTCTGAACCAGCTTATTCACTGGAGCTTGTCCTCCAGAAAAAATGCACCTGCCACATTGAACTCCAGGCGATAAGGCACTAGCCTGAGTCACATTCCAAGTTCATAGTGCAAGAAGATGTGTGTTGTTTGTGTTCTGCCCTCTGCATCCTGGACCCACTCCTAGAAATGCCCAGCCTTCTGCAGCTCCTTCTGGAACCTTCCGACAGCCCCTTTGCTTGCCACACCCAAACAAAGCCTTCCTCTGGGTGACTCCCCCTACAGGCTGGTCCCCAAGCAATGGGACCTCTTAGGATTGTTCATCATGGCTCATCTGTCTTGACCTTCAGGCAAACTTCTCTGTGAGAGGAAAGACAGAAAGGGCTGTAACTGGGCAGGTAGACAGGATGAAAAGCTGTATCTTGCTGGGCACCCACAAGGGCTTGGTTCTCAGAGAGTACATGGATGCTAGCAAGCTGGCAGAAGCACAAAAAGGGCACCTGGCTAAAGATACCTACCCATGTCTTGGCTTACTGCCTGAGACCCTCTGTGCAGCAGTGCCAGCCAGAAGCTAGTAGCAGCTGCCCTGCCTCCTGATTGACTGTTGTCTTACATCTTAGCCAGCCAATCGAAGCAGATTCTTTGTGGAACTGGGTAAGGAAGTGAGCCAGAGGACTGTTTCAGAGGTGCTGAAAGTCCTTTCCAACTTTTCTTTATCAATAAACCTGCTTTGGGCCCGGCGCGGTGGCACAAGTGGCTAAGGTCCTCGCCTTGCACGCCCGGGATCCCATATGGGCGCCGGTTCTATCCCGGCAGCCCCGCTTCCCTTCCAGCTCCCTGCCTGTGGCCTGGGAAAGCAGTCGAGGATGGCCCAAAGCCTTGGGACCCTGCACCCACATGGGAGACCCGGAAGAGGCTCTTGGCTTCGGATCGGCATAGCATCGCCGTTGCGCTCGCTTGGGGAGTGAATCATTGGATGGAAGATCTTCCTCTCTGTCTCTCCTCTCTGTATATCCGCCTTTCCAATAAGAAAATAATAACAATAAATAAATAAATAAATAAATAAATAAATAAACCTGCTTTGGCCTCACTTCTTCCTGTCTGTGTTCTCCATTCTTCATCAGCATGGAACAAGAACCCAGCTGGGTACAGACACCAGAACCCCCTTGTTGCCTGGGAATGTGTGAGATGTGTCTGCCATTTAAGCCATCCTCTCTGGAGTCTTCCATGACACCAGCCCCTGCACATCAAATAATGTGACCTCGGGGAAGTCCCAGGCTCTTGGGTGAACACAGGGCTCCTCCTGGCAGTGTGGGTGCAGCAACTGGGCTGCTATGTAGCTTTGCACGGGAGAGGAGCATTTTGCGGGGCAGTCCTGGACGTGTATGATAATAGGCGGTCCAAGAAGAATGGAGGGTAGAGGGGTTGCTCAGGCTGAGTTGGGGGCTCTCCTCTGGGGTCCCTGAGTCCCTGAACTCCTGTCTGTCAACTGTCCTGACCTCTCAAGCTGGGGCAGCTCATTGCACCTGTTAATGCAATAAGTTAAGGCAGCACTGTCTTAGGAGCCGTCTGTTGGCCACCAGGACATAAGGGGCTATGCCGAGTGACAGCAGCATAATGTGGAGACTGCTTCATTTCTGTTTTCTCTGGGAGAGCTCTGAGAAACTGGCGCTCTTAATCCCCGAGTGTGAGTGATGGATTCCTATGTGTGTGTATGTGTGTGCATGTGTGTCTGTGTGCTTGGTGTGTGTGTATGTGTGTTTGGATGTGTGTGTGTTAGTGCATGTGTGTGTGTCTCCTCTGCCAGGGCCCATGGCAGACACGTGTTCACTGGCCAGACTTGTCTTCCCTGGATGATAGAATCTGTCCTTTGTCCCTGGTCTTTTCCTTGTAGGGTTCCTGCCTTTGGCAGTGACTTCACTCCATGTTGGAAAGTCCCCAAATCCTGTCCATTCTTACCAGTCTGAATGTGGACATCCTGGGTCAGCAGCTCTGGGATGCCACCTGCACAGAGAGAAAGAGAGACAGCTCAGAAGTCAGAGCCTCAAGTGCGCTGACTGGGTGGGGCTGGGCTGGACTGACTCATCAACCCAGTGCCTGGCCCGGGGCCTGACTCCCAAGGGAAGGATGCCTTGGTCACGTGCTCAGCTTCTTCATCCTCTCTAACCTTCCCTGGGCATCCGTTTTGCCCTCAGCCCTGGGCTTCCTTGGCACCCACAAGCCCAAATATAGTAGATCAGACATACCCCCGAGAACCACTTATTTGCATACACCCTGGCCAGAGCTCAGGTAAGCAGCCGCCATAGTTGCAGATGTATCACTCTCTGTATCAGAACTTTGCAGCATCCCAAAAGGTGGGTGCTTCCTCACCTCACATGCCACTCCTTCAGAAAATGGGTAGGACATTGAGTTAAAAGAGTTTTGCTTGGATGCAAAGTAAATCCATGATGGCATATATTTTCCATGACTTAAAAAAAATTTTATTTGCTTATTCTGAATGTTGACTGACATAGGACAGGGGAGAGGGAGAGAGAGAGAAAGAGCTCTTCTCACTGCCCACTCACTTATCCTATGGCCGCAATGGCCAGGTCTCTATCCTGGTGGTTAGGAGCCTGAGCCCAAGTGCATCAGCAGGCAGTCGGGTTCAATACCACCTGCACTCCCAATTCCAGCTTCCTGCTCATGCAGATCCTGGGATAAGGCAGTGACAGCTCAGGTTGTTGGGTTCCTGCTACTCACATGGGAAATACAGATTCAAGTCCCAGCTCCCAGCTTCAGCTTTAGTCCCTGTTCAGCTCTGGCTATTGAAGACATCTGGAGAGTGAACCAGGAGATGGGAGCTCTCTCTGTCAGTGTCACTGTCTCAGGTAAGTCAGCAATAACTTTTGAGAAGAATCTGTGTAAACATGTGGACTTGAAACAAGCCCTGGCTTTCCAGGTAGCCAGCCCCTCTTTTCAGCTGATGTGGCTCAGGGATGAGCGAGTGGGAGACACAGAGAGCTATTGTTTTGTCTGTTACTTCCAGCCGCTTGTTTCTCCAGCCCAGCCATCCTCTGCCCTCTTTTTCCCATGGCTTGTGGCTTCTAGGGAGCTCATGTGTTTCTCCCTATGCTATTGCCTAACCCTAACCCTAACCTGTTACAGGTGCCCCCCAAGTCACCCTGTCCTGGCATGGTCCCCAGATGGCTGCTCCTCTCAGATGCCGGTGTTCTCTGTGCCCACATGGTGGGCTTACCCTGATCCTCCCAGACCCAGCACAGTTGCGCTCTGTTGGCCCTGGGTTCCCACTGCCCCTTCTTGTCCGGCCACATCCCACAAAAGGAACTGCTCTCTCTCTACGAACGCATGATCTTCCCACTGTTCCCAGTCTGTCTCTGTACCCCAACCTCAGGTGCTTTCCCCAACCAGCCCAGAAATTGCCTCCCATGCTTTATTCCAACAAAAGTGTTCTGTTTCATGCCCACATTCAGAATACGGGAACTGAGTGCGATGGGTGCAAGCCGTGTGTGACCCTTTGGCCTATCACTCTCCTGTCAGTACTTCCTCTTCTCTGTAAATGACACCTGCTGTTCCCTCACAAAGCCCCAACCCCAGGGCTGAGCGTGGTGTGTGTCTCTCCAGCCTTCACAAATACTTGGGGAGCTTTCCTTGAGCCTGTTGTACTCCACAGAACACTGTGGGCTGCGCCACTGGAAAGAAAGGAATCGTCCCAGCTGGCAGCTCCATGACTCCCCCGTGTCTCTGCCTGCTCGGATGACAGCCCAGGGAAGGGACTCCCTGACAGCCACACTGATTGTCTCCAGCTCCTTCTGCCCAGACCTTGTCTTATCTGCTACTAGTATGCTTTAAAATATCCCCACAAAATCTTGGGCATACCTCTCCTCACAAGATGGAGACAAAGTCCTAGGTGGAGTGTGGACTCAGAAATTCCTCCTTTTTTTTAAAGATTTATTTTTATTCTTATTTGAAAGGCAGAGTTAGAGAGAGAGAGAGAGAGAGAGAGAGAGAGAGAGAGAGAAAGGTGTTCCATCAACTGGTTCACTCCTCAAATGGCCACAGTGGCCAGGAGATTCTTCTGAGTATCCCACATGGGTACATGAGCCTAAGCACTTGGGCCATCCTCCATTGTTTTCTCAGGCCTAAGCAGGCAGCTTGATTGGAAGTGTAGTAGCCAGGACTTGAACTAATGTCCATATGGGATGTCAACATTGCAGGCAGATGCTTAGCCCACTACACCATGTCTCCAGCTTTGGGATATACTTCTAATCAATAACATAAACTAAGTGTGATGGAATTGGCCCTCTGACACCAGGGGCTTCCTCCTTACTCTCTCTAAGTAAGTTTGCTCAGTCTGGGAAGCCAATGGATCATGTCGTGGGACAGGGCCAAAGCTAGGACTCAGGAACCCAATCTGGGCCTCCCAGGTAAATGCTGGGGAGCCGTTCCACCATCTCCCAATGTTTGCATTAGCAGGAAGACAGCGTCAGGGGACATCGTGTGTTCTCAAACCAAGGCTCTTCACTGCAGCACACTAATGTAATCGCCACTAGGCCAGATGTCTTTAAAGACACGGTTAAGTCTGCTGGACTCAGAACTCCAACCATGGGGAGAATTGCAGGATCTGTGGTTTGGTCATGGAGTGCATGTGTCAGAGTTGGGCCTCCTCAGTGGCTAAGATGGAGCAGTAGATGGCATGCCCACATGCATGGAGGAAATGGCAGTCCATTGGGGCCTGCAGAGGACATCTGGTATCGTAGCAGAAGATGGTGAGCAGAACAAATTGGACAACTACCCCAGCCAAATTTGACAGCAAATATCCGGGTGAATGGAGACTCTAAGGTTGACTATGTCAACCAATGGACCTTGAAAGGGTTTCCTCATCCTTGGATCAGTGAGATCGACTGCATTTCAGAACTATCAAAACCACTTGGAAAGAACCCTTGGAGCATGCTCCACATTGAGGACCCTGGGATGCCATTGGATGGCCGTTCCCCATCCCAGGTACTGATGTGGTTGGGATACTGGGTGCTTCTTCTCCCTTTTTCTTCCCTTTCCGCCTCCTGTTCTTCCCAGACATGGGAAGAAGAAGAGGAAAATTTGGAAACAATGGTCTCATCCACTTTCCTCTAATCTTCAACTCTTCCCACACTAATTGGTGGTCCACATGGACATTCATCCTTCTCAACTATGTAAGCATCATTAAAAATAATTTTTTTAAAAAAAGTGTAATTAAGTCAAAGCAATGTCATTAGGTTGGAGCTGATCCAACAGGACTGATGTCCTTCTAGGAACAGAGGACTTGGTCTCTGGCATGCACAGGGGCTGACCATGTGCAGGCAGCATGTGCAAGGCAAGGAGAGAGGCCCCGCAGGAAACCCAATCGTGTTGACACCTTGGCCTTGAATTGGCAGCCTCTAGGACTGTGGGAACTGTGAGAAGGGTCAGATGCCTTAGTCCTGGCTTCTGCAACACACGGTTGGAGAGAATGGAATTGGCAGGGGTAGAAGGAAGGAGAGAGTGGCTGACTCAATGGCTCAATTGATTAATCTTCTACCTGCAAGCACCAGCATTCCATTTAGGTGCCAGTTCATGTCCTGGCTGCTCCACTTTCCATTCAACTCCATGTTGATGATCTGGGAAAGCAGAGGAGGATGGCTCAAGCCCTTGGGTCCCTGTAGCCATGTGGGAGACCTAGAAGAGGTTCTTGGCTTCAGCTAGGCCAAGTCCCTGCTGTAGTAGCCATTTGGGGAATGAATCAGTAGATGGACGACCTTTCTCTCTATTTCTCTGTAACTTTGCCTTCCAAATAAAATAAATATAAGTTTGAAAAGAAACCAGAATTAAACATAAAGATGAAGAACTGTGAGCTAAAGGAAACGTCTTTACAAAGGACCCTGTCTCATGGATTTTGCCAGAACAACAGAAAGAAGATGATGATGACCACCATAACCAAGCCATCCAGCCATGCCCTCCCGGCCCGCCTGGGGTTCTTGCCTCTCCCGACCGAACCCTGAGGTCTGCCCTGGTCACTGTTCCCTTTCAGCCCCACCTTGCCCTTGGAGAGTGTGACCGACACCAAGGCCACCACAGCTTCACTTCTAGCCTTTACTTAGGCCATCAGCTATTCCATCCAATCTTTCAGCACGTACGTGTGTGTGTGTGTGTGTGTGTGTGTGTGTGTGTGTGTGTGTGTGTGTGCCAAGGCCTGCCTGGAGGCTGGAGAGGGACAACATAGTCCCAAAGAGACCCAGCCGTGCACTCAAAGCACTGTGGGATCCAGTGACCTTGAGCAGGGCTTTCTCCCTTGGGTGAAAGCCGTGCAGTGACTCCTGCTGCCCCTTCCTGTGTGACTTGTTATGTGAATGGAGTTAGAAAGGAAATTCATGGTCAAAGTGAAGGTCATCGATCAAATCCAGGAATCATCAGTCCCAGCCAGGCCACCTGTCCCTAGAGGCCACAGTCTAAGGAACACACTGCCCTCTGAGGGGTGTGACCGCAGTACAGGGTGACAGGCCTCCCACTGCCCCAAACACCTGCGCGGCTCCAGAGCTCCGGTTCTCCCACCTGAAACCCCCGACAGAATTCAGGGGTCCCGATACCTGTTGCTGAGGCCAGTGCCTCTTGACCAGGGCCCCAGATCTCTTCCTGCTCCTCTATGAGATGCTGTCAGTATGTACTCTGTGCCAGCAGCACTTTTGGGGGAACCCTCAGTGCTGGCTCAGGCCTGGCCTCTAGGAATCTCAGAGATGACTGTGTGCAATTGTCTAGGATATGCAAGGCAGGTAAGCCGGGGCTCACGGCTCATGTCTGGCAGGAGTCCTGGGCTGATCCTTTGCTGCCCCAGGACAAGGTGAGGCCCCCCCATCTGTGGGCAGGCTGAGACTAGGGGCAGCCTGTACACCAGGTGAACCCCTTCACTCCCACTGCACCGTTTTCCCTCCTCTTTCTCCTCCTTCTTCTTTCTCCTTGGCCCCACA